GGCCACCATTGGGGTCACTAGAAGTCACTGTTCAACAGGTGATGAAGAGAAGACTCCGAATGTGGCTCTAGAAAGGTCAGTGTATCCGTGAATAAGGATGTTAGGATGACCCCCGTGTTGTGTGGCTGAGGGGGGCGGGGTTCTCTGCCCCAGCCTGTAACTCTCAGCCAGAGTAACAGAAGAGCAAATCAATATGGTCTATGAATACTTCTTATAGCACCCTTCCATATATCCTTTTTTTTCCAAAGTAAAAATAAATTATATAGTTTTATTTTTAAAAAATGATTCCTGCTAATTGCAAGTGGGGTGGGAAATAATTCAGTCAACCCAGAAAAACTATAATATAGAAAAAAGCATCACCATAAATCCTGCCACTTAGAGCTGCTGTTAATATTTTGAAGACCATCCTTCCAGATATCTTTTTCAGCATAAATACACACAGGAGTTTACATGTTATTCTGAACCTACCTTTTACTCAACAGGTTATGAATATCTTTCAATGTCAGTCAATACCTAAAAGATTTTAAGTAGCATCTGGTAATGTTTTATTGCATAACATAATTTATTTAACAAAGTTGCAATTCTTCATCTAGAACGCACAGATATAGTAATATCTCATGGGGTCCTTCTGTGGATTATCTGACGATGTGTATAAGATGTTTAGAAGAGTAGATGGCCTGTGGACATGTTCAGTAGTTGTTAGCTGCAGTGAACATCAGGTGTATAATATCTTTTGCAAAGGTGTGTGATTATCCCCTTGGGATACATTCCTGAGTGGCACTGCTGGGTCAGCATTTTCAGCTCTGATTCACATCACCAAATAGCTCGCCAGAGAAATCGTCGCAGTTTATATGTCCTCACCCATAGTGCGCACAGGTTGCCACCCCTCAATGGACAGATACGTTTGGTCACACTTTCCCAAAAGGTGGGAAATATCATTGCATTATTTTTCTTTGATTTTTTTTTGATTGTGAGATCAAATAACTTTTCACACGTTATTGGCCATTTCTATGTCCTTTTGTGAATTGCTAGTTTGTGTTGCTCCCTATTTTCTCTTGAGGGCTTTGCTTTTTTCCTTGTTGATTTGAAAACTCTCTCTAACCCTTTGTTGTGTTGCAAATAATTTTTCCTAGTTTTTTTCCAACTTTCTCTGGTGTTTTGCCATTAAAATTTTTTTTATATAGTCAAAGTAATCCCTTTATTATATGTATTATGGGTTCTGGTTTTTGTATTCTTTTTTGAACTGGCCTTCTCTTTCTAAGATTAGAAAAATCTTCACTCATATTTCTAGGATTTTTTTTGATTTAACCTTTTATTTTTAAATCTTTGTTCAAAGTGGAATATATTTGGGAACCGGGGTGAGAAGGGAGTTAGGAATCAGCTTCTCCCCCACCCCCACTCCACCCCCACAAATGGCTAGTTTTTCCCAACTCTCTCACCACTAATTTGTAGTGCTAGCTTTATCATACACCAGCAATTTTCAGCTGGTGTGCTGTGGCACATCGGTGTGCCTTGAATGTTTAGGACATGCAGTCCCTGACTATTTAGTCAGGGGCACTGATCTCTTTTCCCTTAGATGGCCAATAAAAAACAACAACCATCAACACAGCAGCAACCATCTGGTGTAAATGAATGAAAATTACACCAAATGAATAAAAATTACACCAAAATTTTTTGAGTCAGATTAACAAAATAATTTAATATATTTTTTGGTGTGCTGCAGAATTTTAGAAATTAGTGTATGTGTGCTATGAGATGAAAAAGGTTAAGAATCACCATCATACACTAAAAGAAACCTTACCCAGTCTTGGGCTTCATTTTTGTTCCATTGTTCTGGCTTGTCTATTCCTGTGCCACTAACTGTGCTAGGGGACTAATCAGTCTGCTCCCAGATGTGGAAGGTTTTATGCTCATCTACTCCTGATAGATCAAGTGACATTTTATCTAGCTAGTCTTAAACTTCCTGGTTCCTGAGCTTCCTACCCTAGGATGTGATTAAGTACTTGAATTACCATGTGGCCCCTCTGGATACTGGCTTTTGGCTTGTTAATCACACAAACAGCATATTTACATCGTTTCCCTTAATTTTGAGCCACTTCTAGACCATATACTTGGCTGGCTGCTTAGCAATACAGAGTGGCCAAATCACGTTCTTTTTGTGCTAAATATTCTACCTCTGATGAGTACTACGTTAGAGCAACACAGCTCTTGTTCCCCAGGAATAAAACATGCTCCAAACCCCACCTTCTCCATTTCAGTTGTCGTGTACGCAGACAGCTAACTCATAACATAATTTTGTATTAACAGTGCTTGAGGTAGACATCCACTCTGCCTTCTGTTGGCTGGACTCAACTCCTAAATGTTTTTATGTGTTCAGTATCTTAACATATTTTTATATGTTCTATATTTTAATATTGTAGAGTATTCATTGGTAGTATTGTGTTGGAGGTTTGGGGTTTTCTCTTCTTAAAGAGATTATTCTGCCTTTCAGTTTTGTACTTACAGGCTTTGTCCCCTGCTCATATTTCATCTTACTTTGCCTTGATTAGAACAACTGAACCATAACTTACTGGTTGATTATATTCAGCTCCAGGGGTGTCCAACCTTTTGACATCGCTGGGCCACACAGTACATACACAAACACTAATGAAAACTGATGAGCAAAAAAAGGTTTTAAGTAAATTTAAGATTTTGTGTTAGGCTGCATTCACGGCCATCCCAGGCCGCATGCAGCCCGTGGACCGCAGATTAGACACCCCTGGTACCATCTGAAACCGTGCCTGCGTAAGTGATCCTGTGGCCTCAGCTTTCTTTGGATATTCCAAGCAGAAGTACTTTTCTTCACACATACATTTCCTTTTCTCTGTTTTTATTTTCCTTTGATTCTCACCTTAACTTTGTTTACCCGATTTGAAATTCTTATTTAACAAGTACTTAATAGCATCTACTGTATACTCTTTAGTAGTTGGCAATATTAACATATTTTGTGTTACCCTTTGAGATTTTTCCAAATCCTTGCCTGTCTTCATGTTTGTTCTCCCTGAACAACTGCCTCCCACCTTCGTCTTGCTGCTTGTGTATGCTCCCATCTCAGTGTGCAGACCTTTACTTCTTCATACTTCTGTGTCTGAATGTCTCTTCCGTTATTCTGCTCCTGGCCAGTGCCTCTGATCACTGGGAGGGATTCACAGCATCTCTGCCAATTTTGACTGTGTGGATGGAGTTGCTGGGAACTAGAGTTGATGGTGGCTGTATCCTAGGTGTCCACCCCAGGTCACCTGCTTCGTCTCTTCAACTGAGGGAGGTACCTGGGCTCCGCCAGGGTCCCCCCCACCTGGCTCTGGGCCTGGGAGAGTCTCTCTGGACAGTGATGAGGGCAGGTGTAGGCCCTTGTTTGTTTCTTGTCTCTCAGGAATTACTGTCCTTGGTTGCCTAAAGTCCCAACATCTTGAAAGCTATAGTTTTATATACTTTGTGGGGCTTTTTTCAGTTGTTTCAGTGGGAAGCTCAAGCTGGTCCCTGTTACTCTATGTTGGCGAGAAGCAGAGACCTCTCAGAACAGATTTATTATATTTTACACTCATTTCTATTACTGGGAAAATAAGTGGGTCTGGTCTTATCTTTTCACTTCGTTATCCCCCTTTCAGAGCTTCAAGGGTAATTCTTAAAGAGAATGCACTGAATATTTATTGAGTGCCTTTCATGTGCTATGTTATATATTTTTGCTAACAGGAATAGGCTGCTCCTTGTACCGGATGAGCTTCAGATGTAGTCAGGGAGGCACACAATGTTCTAATTGCTATAATTAAAAGTAATACAAATTTTGAAATATCTAAGGTACCACCACAATGTAGAGTGACAGGTACATTATGTCATATAATAAATTATTAAGCATTAGAACTGATGGCCTTTTGCTGACAGTTGTGAATTCTGTCTCCTAACCATGACCTGGGTTGTTCACCCTTTCTCGGGCGTCTGTAACCCTCACACTGAAGGGGGAGAACTGTGTCTGTGCTCTTGGCTCCCAGTTCTCCTGGATTTGTCTCTTCCCCATATGACCTCTTCTTCCCCCCTGAGCTTTGGTCTGTTGTTAAGTCTGATTTCATTTGTTTCATTTACTTTCACCAGTATAAGAATGTTAAATACTGAAATATAGAAAATTAGCTGCATTTGCTGTATGTGAATGGATGAGTTTTTTTCAATGAGTTTGTGTATTTTCAAAAGTAAAATTTAATTGGCCATTGGGAAGGGAAGAGAGTGAGGGTTAAGGTAGCAGAAGACCACAATTATAGTTAATAAATCTGAGCTACATTCCCAGAGGAACTCTTTGGATGTTGGATGAAGTCAGCTATTTTTTGCGTTGTTGAGGTGAAGCTGCAGGTTGCTAGTGATGTCTGATAATCTTTCCCTTCTGTGACTGGGCAGTAGGAAAACGTGAGTAATGCCATTGTGCATTCACTGGATCTCAAAATGAAAGGTTCGGATCCCGATCGGCTCAAGACAACTATATCTCGGCCTGATCAAGATAGCAGAACTTCAGTGGTGGATTTTCCTGTTATCCTAGCCAGCTGCTGTGACCAGAGCCTTCCTTGGAAAGCCAGCCCATGTTTAGACCACTCTTAGCCCTTGCAGTCTGTCTGGTGCTTGTGGCAGCTCTGGATATTTCTGCTTCTCCTCAAGGAGCTCATTGATACACTTTCAGACACTACCCTCACTCAAGAGAACATGCTGTCTTGCTCTGCGAGAAATGTCTTACAGGAACATTGCTGTGTCAGTTTTTAAACTTCTGGTTCCAGATGTCTCCAGCAGCCCAACTTTTCGCAGATGCTTGGCCAGTTTGTGTGTATGAATAGCCTTTCTGTCCTGCAGAGGCTGTGAGAAGCTCTGCCCAAGCGTTGGAGAGTTAACTAACATTTAGTGAGCAAGCCCTCTGTGAGGCATTGGTTGTACCACTTACAGAGATTTACAGGAGATACTGCTGGGTCAGGAGTACTTACAGTCCAGAGTGGTAATAGCATAGGTGAATACAGAGGCCCACTCAGGACGACCACAGAAGAAACCTAGAAGATAAGCAAAACAGTGTTTTGAGTTCTGTTTCTTCAGATGTTTTTGCTGGGATTGGCGGCTTGAGTGACCCAGAGGCCAGCAACCCACCATTTATAGACATATTCTATTTTGAGACTGAGTTTGTGGCTTGGGAAGGATATATAACCATTTTCAACAAATGCTTATTGAGTGTGCAGAGTATCATGGTGGGCACAGGAAACACCAAAAAGTATAAAGTTATATCCTCTGCTTCTAGGCTTGTGGTTGGAAAGGCAGTGCATGCTTAAGATTTAAAAAATCTTAAGAGCATATAATTCTTCATAAGAGAAAAGCATATTGTCAATATTTAGTAGAAATATATACTAAACTGTCAATCCCTCTGGGGAATGGGGCTTGGGATGGTGGGGCATTTAGCAGACAAAGAGGAAGGCTCTTCATGTTTTCTATATATATTTCTGTCTGGTTGGAAACTTTTACCAAGTGCCAGTATGGCATTTTTGGAATTATTTCTTTATCAGTTAAAAAAACAGTAGTGACTAGAAGATTATAAATATAATGTTAACCTTGAATATCTCATGTGATAGGATTATGAAAGATTTGTATTTTCTTCACTATATGTCCCTATTATTGTCTACATTTTCTATAATGGATATATATTATTTTACACATAGGGAAATATTTGAAAGCCAAAACCCAGAAGCACCTACAATGATCATTAAAACTACATTTCAATGTGCTGACCATATTTTGACTCCAGGTCCCAGCTTTCTTTTTCATAGTCTCCTCACTGTTACCACAGCTCTGTTAAGGTTGTCCTGTTATCATCATCATCATCATTACTACTGCTGTTATACAAGGTGAAACAAGGGCATTTGCTCTCACTTCTGTCCCTTGTCATTTTTGAGTGACTTAGCCTGGAAGCAAAAGGGATCTAGTTATTAACTATTCGCCTATTACTGTGATGGCTGCCTAGAAAATTTTATATTATGCTGATTGAGTTACAATTATATCCATCAGTGTGGGCTGTGATCTCTTGTTTTAAAGCATCCTGTGAGTACTTTCTATATATTTATATTTGGTTCTGTTGGAGAAAGCAATTAGATTATCCCATCTCCCCATCTGGTGCAGTGAAGAAAACTCATCTGCTTGGCTTACTTTGTATGAGAAAGAATGAGAATTTCCGAGTTATTTGTGACTCAGGTAAAGTAGTTAAATCCTATCCTCCAAACTGTTTTCTCGGACTCCCTATCCATTTATAATGATGAAGTTAATTACTTTGAAAGTACCAGTGTTCTGAATTATTTAAGGGAGTCAGAGGTTTCTGAAGTCAGAAAGATGCTGTTTCTAAATGAATTTCTTTTTTCTTTTCCTATAGCATGTGTTTGATGATCTCAGTGGCTCAGTCTCCTTGTCTTGGGTTGGAGATAGCACTGGGGTAAGTAATATTCTGAGGCTGTGAATTCAACCCAGCAAGAAGATGTCGATTTGGGGAGAGTTTAAGCACTAAACACTGTTACTTTCTGAAGTGGTCTTCAGCCTCAGTCACAGAAATACATGTTTCCAGGACAGACTTTCAGGAAACGGATTGGTTTAGTTTTGCTTTAGAACTGGGAAGCATCTTGTGACTACCTTCTTCCCTAATGGGAAGATAGACACCTCTGAGTCCTTGGTGGCTGCCTGGCATCCAGATGAGCAACAAGAAGAGAGAGAGACGAGAGTGCTGTATGCTGAGAAGTGAGCCTCACAGCACTTGGAGAAGCCCCTGTGTAGAAGCCGAAAATGCACATTGCATATTTTGGCATTTTTCCTCCAAATTACATTTTTCCTGTGTCCTTCCCCACAGTTAGTGTGGAAGGCTGTGGGGCCCACTGGCTTATAGTTGTTCAGCTTCAGCTGTTGTCCCTTCCCCTGCCAGCCACAAAGGAGGTGCTGCCAGGATTGGGGGAATGGAAGGAGCATCAGTCAGCTCCTTACCTGAGTACACAGCCCATCTCCCACGGGGAGGGTACACTGAGGATGCGTCAGCCCCTGCTCTTGAATCAGGGCTTGCTCTGATGCTGGCTGGCTCTGTTGTTATGCCATCTAAACAAGGGCGAGGCTACAGCTCATGCCCTCTGGTATCCCAGTAATGTATGTATCAGAGCTTCAAGGCATACAGTGGCTCTGTCAGGAGCCCAGAGAAATAGAATTTGGCTCTGAAAAGCAAGTTATAAATTTATCATCTTAGTAAATTTTTAAACTTCTGGTTGAATTTCTTTAAGCACGTCTCAGTTTCTTCTAAAATTTGAGTCGTGCTCTAGTTTCCATGATTTATCCATTTTAGTTGGTATCTCCAAGATTTCTTGTTATATGGCTGTTTTAAACTCCTTCTTGTACTAATCTATCAGAATCTTTTACTTATGCATATTTTTACCTGAAAATCTTATTTAAGAAATTAATCTCTTGGAGAACTAAGAGCAGGGAGGAGGAGAGAAGGAGGGGTAAGTGTGACACAGCGGCCTTACTAGAGTGTCCGCTCTGGTCTAGCCTCTGTGTGCAGCAAGAGAGCCGACCCCTGCCGGAGAGCCCCTTACAATAGTGTGGTACAGAACAGTTAAGTCCGTCCTTTGTTGTGCTGTGTGGCTGATTAGCTCTGCCTCACTGCCTCAAGTGCAGGCAATATAGAACCATCCCAACCAAATGAGTGAGAGCTTGAATCACTGCAAGCCAGTAACTGCTTGGTTTTCTGACATACTCCAGGATAGGCTGCTGCAAAGCAGGGCTATTGCCAGTCTTTCAGATGTTGATTTAACCCCATCACACACAGGCAAGCATGTGATTGTACTATCTTTCTTTCTGACTGCATGCTTTTGTCTCTCTCCAGATCATTCTAGTCTTGACTACCTTCCACGTACCACTGGTAATTATGACTTTCGGACAGTCCAAGCTGTATCGAAGGTGAGATGCATAACATGTGGTTGGGGCATTGACTGAGTGACACATTGTGAATGTAAGTTCTCCACTTCTCTAGACATGATGGAGTCTTAACAGATAATTTAAAAGATCTTCTAGCCATCTTAAAGTTCCACCAAACCGTCACATTCAGCACACTTTGTAATATTTACTTAAGAAGATGAAGAAGTAGGAAAAGGAATCTAGTTCCAAGAAGATTGGGTTGATGTGACTGAACGGCAACATGATAAAGGAAGATGGGGAGTCTATAGGGGCATGTATTTATTAATTTAAAGGGATATTTATTTGTGGGAAGGTAGCATGGAGTTCAATAGTCTTTCTGTTTATTATAAGTACAGAATGTTTTTTGTATCCCTAAAGTTACAATCCTCAGTGTACCTTCCAAGTAAATCTATTTGTCCACCATTTTGAGCCTCAAACAGATTATTTCTAGATTAGAAGGAGGTTCTCAGGTCCGACCTACCAAAGTGCCTTATAGTGTTCACACTGGTTATGGTGGTGGCAGTGTATGTTTTGGAACCCATCCTGGGACATCTATAAAACTTTAGATTTGTCTTCTCAAAGGTATAGCTTGGTTAAATAATAGGTTCTTTTTCCTTAACTGTAAGATGAAAGTCCAGCTAACTCTCAGAAATTGCTGATTGTCTTCTCAATCATTTGTGCTTGTCTCATTTTCCCCCAGGGGACCTAAAAAATATATGGCTTCCTAGCAGATGACATAGAAACCACCCTCAGGGCCGAGGGATCTCCCAGTAGCCATTGTGCCTTTTCAGGGGCCCAGGTGGGAATGCTCCTGTGTTGAGTCTCTGAGATGAATCGCACCTTCACCAACAGGTGTGATCTTGAATGCTGATCCTGAGTCTGGAGCCAGTGTTCTCTGCCCTTCAACAGTGATGTTGGCTTAAACATAGGCTAAGAAGGAATTGCCACCTTGAAATCACTGTAGGAAACCAAGGAAGGCAAGGTTCTTGACTAGCTTGAGGTTCTCTGGTATAAGCCAAATGAGTGAGGCAGGCAGGCATTTCATACTAACTGAATGAATGCATGCCTAGTCTTCTCTATACTTTTTGACTGATAATTTTCTTAGCTGTTTGATAATGATTGTCAATGTGTTATAGAATCCTAATGCTAAGGTCCTGGCTGGTGTGGTTCAGTGGATTGAGTGTCAGCCTGCAAATTGAAAGGTCACTGGTTCGATTCCCAGTCAGTGCATATGCCTGGGATGCGGGTCAGGTCCCCAGCTGGGAGCATGTGAGAGGCAACTTATCAGTGTATCTCTTGCAATGTATTCTCTCCCTCTCTTTCTCAATCCCCTCCCTTCTCTCTGAAAGTAAATAAAATCTTAAAAAAAAAAAGAATCCTAGTGCTAGAAATTGCTGTAATTTATGATTGATTTTATTTATTCAGTTAGAATAGTAATGGAACCATTTCAGACAGATGGAAAGTATCCTATTTGGGGAGAAAAGTGCATTAAAAATTGTAACTTTATAACTCTTTCCAGTGTTTAAGAAAACTTCCTGTCATGAAAATTGTCCTTATAATAGTTTTCTTAACAATTTATCTTTCATAATAAAAGCAGTATATTATAAAACATTTGGAAATTGTAAAGGAAAGAAAAATTTCATCCTAGCATCAAGTATAATCTTAATTTATTTACAGTTTATTATCTTGGTTTTTTTTCCTTAATATGGCTACATAGTTTCAGGAAGCAATACGGTACGGTGCAAAGTTGCCAGGTTTTGTTGGCAAATAGGCCTGAGATTGAATCTCAGCACTAGAATTTGCAAGCAGAATGAACTCAGGGAGCAAGTCGTTTAACCTCCCCGAGTCTTTTTGTCATCTGTAAAAAAAGGATGATAACAATGGCTGTCTTAGAGCAGTGGCGCGTTATGCTTCGCAGAGCCTGGCGTGGAGTAAGAACGTGGTGGGGTTGGCTCCTGCCACGCCGACAGCCAGCGAGGGCGTGTAGCCAGGCTGTACCAGCACTGCTGTGCCAGCTGTTAAAATGAATTGAAAGCCTTTTAGGCCACTTGGCAAAAAGTGATTGTCTGCCTCTAGGTGCCTCCAATGGCTTCTAGACATGCATGCACACCCCTGCCTTGCCAACATTCAAGTGTCACTGACACCTGGCATTGTGACCCACATTTATTCTGATTGTTGCACATGCCATGATATTTTCCATATCTTCTCTGCTACTAACCCATCACTTTTGTTAGATTGGTGGAATATACTAAATCATTATTCTCTTGGATGTTTAGGTTGCAGCCAGTTTTTCGCTGTTACTAATTCTGCTGTGATAAATATCACACATTTATGTGTTAGAGAATACTAATTTCTAGTTCATTTTTTAAAACTATTGATTTGAGAGAGAGAAACATTACTTTGTTGTTCCACTTATTTATGCATTCATTGGCATCTTCTTGTACAATATGTGCCCTGACTGAGGATTGAACCTGCAACCTTGGTGTATTGGGATGAGACTAACCAACTAAGCTAGCTGGCCAGGACCAGTTCATTTCTAGTAGGAAATGAAAACCTCTTTTCCTGTTGATCCTTGTGTGTTTTGAAGGCTATTTACTAAGCTCCTTCTTCAGGTTGGAATATCTTCTGTACTTGTTGCTCCAGCCACTTTTTTGCTTGCCTTCTGAATTCTCTACGTTGCTGTTTGTGTGGTTAGAACTGGATCTGACAGGTTCCAACCAGTGAAATGTGTTTTCACGACCTTTCCCGTCCTTTTGCTTTTCACCATTGTGCTTACTTTAAGACTGTCCCAAACAAAACCCACAGTATCACTGTTTTTAAATGCCTACCACCGTCTGACTCAGCCCTTTTCATCCTGTATCTGCCTAGTCTATGAGAAACCCCTAACATACACTTCATTAGAACAGAGCAGTCCTATTCGTGTCTGGTGTAGCATCATGTTAACAACTAACATGCTTTTTCTGTATTGGTGCACAGCAATTTTGTGATTGTTGTTTGTTTTTACTGAGGTCATTTTGAATATGAATTATTTCCTCCCTGCTGTGACGTGAAGTCTTCAGAGTTTAGATGGAAACTCTAAGTGTGCCTTGTTGCCTCTCCATCTGGGCTGGCCTGGCCTGGCCCGATGTGACTCATGTTGTTGAACGCACCAGCCAAGGAGGCACGTGTTCCTCCAGAAATGGGAAAGGGAGGGAGCGGTGTGACTGAAATGACTGTGTTGAGGTTGCCCAAGAGAGAAATTAAATAAAAGCCCGTTGAATCCATCTTGAAGACTCTTGGTTTTCACAACTTTAATAATTATACTATTTATTGGATTATTTCTCTCCATTAAAACTTACAAAGGTTTATTTGGGATTCAAATAAAGGCAGCTAATCACATGCCAGCTGTCCTGAGTTGTGTAGCACAGAGGCTCATGAGAAGAAAAGGAAGTAGTCTCTGTTACCTGTGCCAAATTAGTAAACTGGTCTTTAGGCTGTGAAAAAGAATTGTTGAAAGGTTTGAGAAATAATAAATAAAGTCCCTAGGCATTAACGATTAGGTTAAAATGAACAATATGTTAATAGCTTCAATTTAAAGGAATCACTTTTGAATGGTAAAAGTTTTGATTCTCTGTTAAGGAATATTAATTTGTGTAATAGATTATAAAGTACATTTGCTCTCACTTGCAGATGTGGAGTTAAAAAAGGAAATAAACTAGCTATAGTTAAGATGATAGCTTGATTTTTAGAAACTGAAAGATGTTTTATAGCCCTTTGAGTCTAACTTTTCATTGTAAGATCAACTTAGTAAAGCTCATGTAAGCATTATTCTACACCAGAATTCTCTGCCTAATTACCACAAAACTACTGGGCCATTTTATTTGTGGTTTTTATTTCCTAATGAGACTTGTTCAAATTTTGGAAATTAACAAGAGAATCTCTGAGATTTTTACATCAAAGTTTATTCCATAGCCCATGTAAGTTTTTTGGTATGCTACATAAGGTTAAAAAAAAGGATAACTTAAAAATATACAACAGATATTAAAGCAAAGTACAGTAAACCAGCTCCTCCAAGGCATCTTGTATGACAGCCTTTTTAATGATATACGTGGTTCAGTTTTCACTGCTTTAGATAGTTGGGGTAAAAAAAGAGACTAAGTATAATTGGGAGTTCAGGTTACCTATAAATTAAAATTTTGCCTGTCAGTGATTTCAGGTCCGAGATTCCTTTGGCACATTTTAATAAGCTACATTCTCCCTACTGATCTTTTTTTTTTTTTAAAGATTTTATTTATTTATCTTTAGAGAAGAAGGGAAGGAGAGAAGGAGAGAAATATCAATTATGGTTGCCTCTCATGAGTCCCCTGCTGGGAACTGGCCTGCAACCCAGGCATGTGCCCTGACTGGGAATTGAACCGCGATCGTGTGGTTCACAGGCCCGCACTCAATCCACTGAGCTACACCAGCCAGGGCCCCTACTGATCTTTTAACTGGCAATCTCAATACATTCCATTGTCATTCTTTATGATAGTTACATATTCCATAGTCCCCATGAATTCTGAATTAGTGCATACTGAACCATTGCTGCTAGGGGAAATTCTGGGATAGGTTCTTGTAGTAAACCTCTGATCACAACCTTCATTTTCATCAATCAATCAGTACAAGACTTGTTTTAATTAAAGTTACCTTATTTAGTATATTGTTTACCTTATTGTTGATTCATTAACATTGAGCTCACAACCAACTCATGTCCGAAAGAAGCTTCTCTAACTCACATATTTTCTCTGTAAGGCACGTCACGAAGCCTCGTGCTCAGGAGCTCTAAACAGCACTTCAGCACTGCACTTGGGGGCATTTTAAACAGCAAGACCACCAACAAAAAGCAAGGAAATTCAAAATGCGAGGTGCTAAATAGACTGTGAAGGAGATACTTACTTACAGTGAGCTGAAATGAGAAGGCAGTGTCCCCTTGTTGGACCTCAGCTGGGAACATGTGCACTGGGCGACTCAGACTTTACTCCACCCTGTGCACATCTGCAAATGACTGAGAAAGTACCACCAGCATTGATTTGGGGGTTACAAGTAAATTTTAGTGAGTAGGCATACCACAGATACACAGTCCATGAATAATGAGAATCAACTGTATAAGCTTTCCCAATTGAAAACTATAGAACTATGATTATTTTTAAAAGTTACTTGTCATCCTGTTGTCTTTATGTTGCAGTTTATAGCCACTTAATCATGGCTAAAGTAAACTAAAGGAATGGAGAAATGGTTAGGCTTGGGAGCCAACCAAACAAGGCTATCTGCACTCACTGAATTTTTTTGAGAAAAGTAATATGTAAGAGTTTCTGAGATATTGTAGGACTCTTTACTGTTCCTTCTCATTAAATGTCTGCAGGTCAAATACCTGGTGTCACAAGTTCCTATATATGGTAAATAAAAAATGCTAAAAAACAGGGGCATCATTGTAGCCTGTTCACATCTGGGTTGAGTATCAGTATGTGAGTCTTCTGGGGAAACTCCCTTTTGAGTGCTTCGGTTTACCAGAAGTCCATGTGATGATTGCTTCTTTTTTTCCATTTAATAATTTCTAGATTTTTCTTGTTCTTTGGGGTACTAGACTCTATTCCAAAAATATCTGTATTCTACCACTATTTTCTTGAGTTGTAAACATGCTCATGTTCTCACGCATGCTTATACCACAGATGTATACAGAAGTGATCATTTATTTTTGGTAACCAGAAAGGTACTAGGGTTGATATATAGAATTGTTATTTAAAAGACTTGTTTCTAAAACAAGTGGTTTCACAGGGTTTTATTAACTTTTCATTTGAACCACTGCTTATTACTCTTATCATCTGGATTTTGAAAAGTAGATTTATTTTCAAGGTGTTTCTTTGATTTCCTCTTCATGATATATGTTGTATGCTGATATAGATGATGGTAGAAAATAAAACTACTTTTAAATAAAGTGTTAATACATTAAAACACAGGGATGGGCAAAAATAGATACAAGAATAAAGTCTGTGTTTCACATACTCCTAACTGTGAACCTATTTTTGCCCACCCCTGTGTCGCTGAGCCAGTGTGGCCTCGGCAGACGCCCACTTCAGTGGCAGCAGGTTGACCAATTATGCTCCGTTTGTTTAACTAGCTATACAGTACCAGAGTGTTGTAGCTGATGATTTTTTGTTTTTTTCGTGTTGCTAGCTTTTTCTGAAGGACAGGGATGTGATTGTTGCCAAGTTCTTAAAAAGCCAGCAGACTTGTCAACAGGTTTGTGGAGGTTCTCTGGGAGATACCATGAAGGAGGGGTGATGTGTAAGCTGGCCACAGTCAAGCTGCTGCCAGCCCTTTGAAGGTTGTCTGAGCTGCTGATGGCACGTGCACTTGTAGAGTGAGGAATTGTTTATGCACATCTCATGTTTTCTTATCTTCCTGACGTCAGGGAGATAAGAAAAGAACTCTCCTTGTACTTCAAAGCCAAAAAGGGGTGGGGGGCAATGCAGGATTGTGCCTGATCCCCCTTTTATTTATCTAGGGATTTTCTGTGTGTCTGTGCTAAGACGGGAAGTCATTCAGACAACTCCAAGTCAAAGTCACATGTCGTTTGCTTTAGCAGACTGTCAGGGACCTAAACAAACACTCCCAGATACTTCCCTCCTGTGTCTCCAGTTTCCTCTTAGCTGGTTGTTCTTGCCAGGCCACAAGCCCTGGCATAAAAGAAGACTGCAGTTTTTAAGGGGAAAACTACTCATGAACAATTAAAAGTTGTCTCTGGTTTAGGGCTGAGAGTTAAGAGAATTGGATTATAGTTTCAGTTTTGCTCTTAATTAACTGGGTCGCTTGTGATAAATTACTTCCCTGGAACCTCCTCATCTGTGAAAGGAACGAGTTGAACAAGATGTTCCCTTCAGTCCTTTGCATTTCTCACATTCTTTGCTTCTGTGATTATTTGTTGAGGCTGCTACCAAATTGCACCATCTTTTCCATCATATATTCTGTCCGGGAAGACCACTGCCAATTTATTACTGGCACCTAATTCCCAATACACAGTGGCCTTCACTGATAGACATTTAAATACAATGAATATTAAGACAGCATTGTGTGCCACTTTCTTCCTGTATCACTTTTTAAGAGACTGGCGCATAATGTTGACCTTGTCAGAGTTAGACAGCTACTGATTTTTTTGCATGTATTTTTCAAAATCTAAACATGGACTTGAATACCTCTCAAAGATATTGTTTGAATGAACTTCTGGGAAAACCTCTAACAATCCAAGAGCTGGGGTCAAGTCTGTTGGTTTCCCGAGCCGTGTTTCACGTGCTGCATGCTTTCAGGACTTGTGCCCAGCAGTGGTGACCTCTGGGGTTGAGGTGGGGAAACTTCAAGGTTCCTGCTAGTTAACTTCAGTTTTATCACAAGTACTCTGCATTAATAGATTAGTTAAAAGGCCATCAGCTACATTTAGCAGAGATCCCAATTCAAGCTAGCTTAAATAATAAGGGAATTAATGGTTCATAACTAAATACGGAGGGACAGGCTTCAGGGTCAGTTCAGTCCAGTGTTGTAGGTGTGGCTTCTCTGGGCCCCTGAACCACCTCAGCCATGCTCCCCACTTCTGTTGGCTGCATCTTCAGGTCATGCTCTCTTTGTGGCAGAAAGCCTCTAGCAACTTTCTGATTTGCACTGACAAACTGTTTACAGCACTGGGGACTGTCGATCTGAGCACTGTTGACATTGGGACCAGATAACTCTTTGTTGTTGTCCCACTGACCTCTGCCCTGCAGGATGTTTAGCAGTATCCCTGGCCTCTCACCCACAAGACGCCACTAGTCCCTCAGCCCTGAGTTTCAATCAACAAAAATGGCTCTGGGCATTACCGAACGGTTGCTTGGAGGATGTGTGTGCAAAAATATCCAGGTTGAGAACCGCTGGTCTAAAGAAAGACAGACATTTTCATCAGGTGGCCATCTGAAGTGTGAGGAAATGTGTTTCCTAATAGATCCCAAATTTCCCCTTTTGTCTCACTGTGTCAATTGGGGTCACTCCCCTATTCCTGACCCCAGCAGTTGCCAGGGGGTGGATTTCCTTCAGACTCATCAAGTCCACCACTGGAGCTAGGGATACAGTCCGTTTCTCTGAGACATGTGACCCACGCAGCAGGGGAGGGTGAGTGCCTCAGTCAAGTTAGTAAAGGGGTTGGAAGCTGGGTAGGGACCCCACAGTGTTCACAACCACTGCATTCTAAATGTCTTTATTTTTCTTCTTTCCAGTGAAGACTATGGAAAGAACTTTAAGGATATCACAAATCTCATCAATAACACCTTCATTCGGACTGAATTTGGCATGGCTATTGGTCCCGAGAACTCTGGAAAGGTGAGACTCATTCGTGCATATGTAGAGCTGTATTTGATACCACATGTGGGCTCTCAGATATTAATACTGGAACAATCCAATGATACACATATGTAATTTACTGTTACTGTACTTTAAATTAAACATAATTTAGTACTGATCACAAAAGAATGGGATTCGCACACAGGTTCTTTTTTGGCCCCTGTCCAAGATGCACCCAAACTCTTCAGGTGGCAGCTGGTTAACGTTACAGGGTGCACTCCTTAAGACGAACATTTTAATCTTTGAGAACCTGGCTGATCTCAGACCAACAAGGCTCAGATTCATAGGTACAATGCATTACCTCAGTTCAGGATAATATTGTTTGATAAGACTAATGCTTGAGGAGTAGGGTGCACCAGCTAATCTGTTTTTATAATTCTTCTTACTTTTGGAACTAAAATTTTATTAACTGATGCCTCGTGGAAGTGGTTCAAGAATTCCTGTGCTTTGATGGTGTCATACCCTGAATCTGAACTGCCTTCCTCCAAATCAGGTGATTTTAACAGCAGAGGTGTCTGGAGGAAGTCGCGGAGGAAGAATCTTCAGATCATCAGACTTCGCGAAGAACTTTATTCAGACCAATCTCCCTTTTCATCCTCTGACTCAGATGATGTATAACCCTCAGAATTCTGATTATCTTTTAGCCCTCAGCACTGAAGTAAGTCTAGTTAAATAACTGGTCTTGTTTTTTGCACTTTTATCCTCTCAGAATATACTATCTTTTTTTAATAATATATTTTATCGATTATGCCATTACAGTTGTCCCATTTCCCCCCTTCATTCCCCTCCCCCCACATTCCCCCCCTTTAGTTCATGTCCATGTGTCATAAGTGCTTTAGTTTCTACATTTTCCACAGTACTCTTGCCCTCCCCCGGTCTATTTTCTCCCCACCATCTATGCTACTTACTCTCTTTACCTTTCCCCCCTTTCCTCCTCCCAAACTCCTGTTGCTAACCCTCCATGTGATCTCCATTTCTGTGGCTCTACTCCTGATCTAGCTGTCCTCTTAGTTTGCTTTTGTTTTAGGTGTGGTTGTTAATAACTATGCATTTGCTGTCCTTTCACTGTTCATCTTTTTTATCTTCTTTTTCTTAGGTAAGTCCCTTTAACATTTCATATAATAAGGGCTTGGTGATGCTGAACTCCTTGAATTTGACCTGATCTGACAAACACTCTATCTGCCCTCCCATTCTAAATGAAAGTTTTGCTGGATAGAGCAATCTTGGGTGTAGGTCCTTGCATTTCATGACTTGGAATACTTCTTTACAGCCCCTTCTTGCCTGTAAGGTCTCTTTTGAGAAATCAGCTGACAGTCTGATGGGCACTCCTTTGTAGGTGACTGTCCCCTTAATCTCTTGCTGCTTCTAGGATTCTCTCCTTCATTTTAATCTTGGCTAATGTAATTATGATGTGCCTTGGTGTGTTCCTCCTTGGGTCTACCTTCTTTGGTACTCTCTGAGCTTCGTGGATTTCCTGGAAGTCTACTTCCTTTGCCAGAGTAGGGAAGTTCTCCTTTACTACTTGTTCAGATAACTTTTCCACTTGTTGCTCTTCCTCTTCCCCGTCTGATACCCCTATAATTCGGATGTTGGAACATTTAAAGATGTCCTGGAGGTTCCTAAGTTTCTCCTCTCCTCATTTTTAAAAAATTCTTGTTTCTTCATTCTTTTCTGTGTGGTTGTTTATTTTTTCCTTCTGGTTCACTCCATTGATCTGAGTCCCAGTTTTCTTCCCATCACTATTGGTTCCCTGTGCATTTTCCTTCATTTCACTTAATGTAGCCTTCATTTTTTCATCTAATTTATGACCAAAATCAACTGGTTCTGTGAGCATCCTGATGACCAGTGTTTTGAATTGTACATCTGATAGGTTGGCTCTTTCTTGGTTGCTTAAAAGTATTGGCTCTGGGGCTTTGATTTGTTCTTCTTTTTGAGCCATAATTTTCTGGTCAGGTCATGCCTGTTACATGTATGAGGGGCAGAGCCTTAGGTGTTCACCAAGGCAAGGCAACCCAATCACTGGATTGTGATGCTCTCTGTGGGGGGGGCGGGGTCAGAGAGGGAACAATGGCACTTGCTCTGCTCTCTCTCAGATTTCAGTACCCTCTGCCGCTTCCCACAAGCAAATTGGGCTCTTCTGATGCTGGTTCCCAGGTGTGTGGGCTTGTGTATGTTCTAGTACCCTGTGGGTCTCTCCAGCGAACTCTCCTGTGAGGCTGGGAGTCTCTCCCACCACCTCAACCCCCACAAGAGTTTTGAATCGGTGCTTTTAGGATTTATTTCCCATCCCTGGGGCCCTGGGTTGTGTGGTCTGTCTTGCTGCCCATTTTTGCCTTGTTTACATGTGCACGAATGTGTGAGAGTGGTCAGCCAACCATCTTACACGCTCTGCTCGTTTCCTCCCTGCCCCCATAGTGTGCTAGTGCGCCGCCTGTGCTCCCGGGTCTGGCAGCCACTGCCTTTTCCTGCTGCGACACCCCCCCACCACCACCAGCCACGGACTCTGCCCCTCTCACCAATCTGGTTGATTGGTTGTCAGACTTCCATACAGTTCAACTTTTTTTATCTGTTCTGGTTGTGTTTTTGTTTCTAAATCTTTGTTGTCCTCAATTTTGGTTGTGTGAGGAGGCATAGTGTTTCCACTTACGCCTTCATCTTGTCTGGCCTTCAGAATATACTGTCTTAAAAGGACCCTGTAGGTGATACTTTTATACAGTATTAGACTGCTTTCTGGTGATTTATGTCGTGAAGTATGTATTTTTTGCCTTTTTTCCTATTGGGTAACAGGCACAATTTCCATGTGCTATCTATTTCCAGATATGAATGATATCTAGTTGTTATAATTTTTAATTGAATGGACATGTGCTGTGGGACAAATGAACTAGAAAACAGTTTAATGTAACCATTCTTGTTCTACAAGGGATAAGCATAGATTGTCACAGTCCTGTTGTTGTTATTGTTCCTTTCCTGTGGCCAAACCTCATCTTCATAATTTTTCTTTTTTGTCTGTTGTATAGTATATCAAGCATATTGATTTGTCTTCAACACTCGTGTATTAAATATTCACAGTCTTAAATCCCTGCACCCCTGCCACATTCCTGTAACTCTCCCCAGAAACCTTGTTCCTCCCCGACCTCTTCTGAAAGTTCCCTGAGGAGCATGCTTGGCTGTCCTTTTCTGAGGACCAGTCTCCTTCATCATGGATGTTAAGGGCCCAGAGTGGCTGAGTTGCTAGACCATAATAATCACAATTACACTTTATGTTTATATGGCTTTCTCTCATCTTATTTCTTAGAGTGTAGTCTATTGACCAGCAGTATCAGATAGAAACCCCAGGAGGCTGGTGTAAGATGCAGATTCCTAGGCCCGATCTCAGTGTGGTGGGTCAGCGACTTTTGGTTGCAAGATGCCTAGTGTCTTTATCAAGCTCCCCAGCTGAGCCTGCCCAGTAAAATTTGAGTACCATTGCTGCGATGACTGTTCTGGGGACAGAAACAGGACTATCAAATGTGGACAAGGCCAGCTAAGCAAAGGGGTGTCAAAGGGAAAGAGGAGGGCACTAGAAGACAGGCGGGTCTGGGCCGCTGTGGGCAGATCTTTGAGCAGAGGCAAGACTAGAGGCTCAAGGTCAGAGTTAAGCTTAGCGAGAAGAAGCTGGAAGAAGGAAAGTAGTCTGCTGGGTAGGCTTCAGATCTTCAAGAGACAATTCCTGGAAATTGGCTTCCAGCAGCTTAAGCTGCAAGCCCTTCAGGGAGCAGAGAGACCTCTTAGGAAGGGATTGAACTATATTCATCCACCCTTTGACCACCCCATCACCACTACCAGGTATCTTAAAGTTATTATTAAAAGAGGCTATCTTCAGAAAAGAGGTGGACATGATCTGCTTTTATACCTAAAATTTCTTCCAATTAAGGGTAAGCATGAAGTACAAATAATCAGGGTGGAAAAGATGTGGGCCAGTGTGTACTAAAGTAGAAATAGGTGACATCAGACACTCTCTCCTACTTAAAAACAGTGAATAACTGCCCCATTTCATTCATTCAGAATTAGTGAGGCTCTCCAGAATAGGTTCAGGAAAAATTCAGAAGTTAGGTTCAGTAGAATAGCTAACTTAGAAATGCTGGGAGGTGAACACCACCAGAGGAGGAAAAATTAAAGAAAAAGAATGGTGGGCGGGGGAGGACTGCAGGGAAATCCTGCCTAGACCCTCCGTTTAATTCCAGCTGTACAAGAATGTGTCTGTCCCACCTCCACCGAACCTGGGCTCCATGAAACTGACATGGTCAGTCCTTCTCTTACTGTCTCTGCCACATTTGAAATTTTGGCCAGTCCTTCCTTTTGGAGACTCTGCTTGCTTGGCTTCAGTGACACCATTCCCTTTAGTTCTTTCCTATCTTCTAACCATTCCTTCTTGGTCTCTTCCTTCAACCCCTTTCAACCTCCCCTGAAATCACTACTGCCCGTTGCACTCTGAGCAATCTCTGCCACTCATAGCCCTTTAACCACCACTGTAATGTGTAAGATTCTCCAATCCCTGGCTCTGGTTCTGGCTTCCTCCTGGGTCTTCCAATCCGGTCTAGCTGCCCCCTGGCTATCTCTAGCTGGATGTCCCACAGGCACCTCAGATTCAACCTTAAACCAGCTTATTTCTGCTCTTTTCACAAACATACTCTTCTCTTAATCCTTGTACTGGCTAAAAATTCCACAGTGCCTCTCAACCCTCAACCAAAATTCCAGAGTGATCAGGTGTGCCTCACACATACACATTCTATCCTGCCATATAGTAAAAGTCCAGTTCTACTGAACCTAACTTCTGAATTCTTCCTGAACAGCCTCACTAACTCTGAATGAATGAAATGGGGCAGTTATTCACTGTTTTGCTGCTTCTGGTTTGGGCCCTCTGCAATCCATCTTTCCCATTGTCATCCAAGAATTCCATCTCCCCTCTCTCCCTGCATTAGCTGCCCCTTCCCTCACTGTGAATTGTGTGCTCCTGCAGTGTCTGAAGGCTTTGGGCTCCCTGCACACAGCGCCATATTTATCACCTCTCTGCCTTTCCTAGTATAGGTCTTTGTGCCCTAACATCTCATCTCCCCATTTGCCTCCTTTTGGTTACACTGCCCATCATTTAAGACTTAGTTCAGCTGTCATCTTCACCAACCGTCTCTTATGCAATGTCCTGCTTTTCCCCACTCTCACCCAGAGACTGGGTTCCCATAACACTACCACATTGTATCACACTTTCTTATGGGCCCCTTGTTAGCTGTGAGCTCCTTGAGAGCAGAGAGTGTGTCTTTATTCATCTTTGTATCCCCAGTGTAACATCTGGTATAGTGCCTGGCACATAGTAGGCACCTCATAAGCATTTGTTACTCAGAACTTCCAAGGTGCTGAGAAATAGGTGTATTTCTGTAAACTGTGTATGTGTCTCTAGAGCTCAGGCAGCTCTGATGGAACTTCAGTGTGTGTCTACTGTCCCGAATGATTAGATATGAATTATTAAAGGTCATACGAGCAGCTGCACAGGATAAAGATGGAATTTTGATAAGTCATTTATAATCTTTCAGAATGGCCTGTGGGTGTCCAAGAATTTTGGGGGAAAATGGGAAGAAATCCACAAAGCAGTATGCTTGGCCAAATGGTGAGTAACCGAAGACTCCATCTGTGCAGAGCCCTAAACCTTTCCTGATGGTGCTGCCAAAAGTCACATGAATAACTATTGAGCACTTACTGTGTGCCCAGTGCTCTTCTGAGCACCACAAGGGATACGAGAGATGGGTATGACACAGATCTTGAGCTGGAAGAGCTTCTAATTTTGCCAGGAAAGAAGACTTAGTCTTATTAAACATTAGAATAGAAAGTAGAAAACAAGGCTTGTGACTGAGTAGCTGCTGCCTACAAAAGGTTTATTCTGCATAAATGGTGACATTAGTTGGAATAGCATGAAATACAGCTTTGATTTGGGGACTTATATACTTCTTTGTGCCCAGATTTACACTCCCTCATCTTGAGATCCATTTCCATTAGGCAGCATCTAGCAAGGAATCAGGAAGAAAGCCCAAAGAGCTTCCAGACCTCCAGGGTCACACTGTCCAGGCAGCAAAATGCACTCGCTTCTCTAGGGGACACCCCCCACCAGGTGCCTGCTCAAAGATACAGTGGAGCCCTGGCTGGTGTAGCTCAGTGGATTGAGTGCGGGCCTGCGAACCAGACAATCGAGGTTTGATTCCCAGTCAGGGCACATACCCAGGTTCCAGGCTGGTTCCCTGCAGTCCAGTTCCCAGCAGAGGACGCATGAAATACAACCATACATTGCTGTTTCTCTTCCTCTCTCCTTCCCTTCCCCTCTAAAGATAAATAAATAAAATCTAAAAAAAAAGATACAGTGGAGTTGAGTCACCTTTGTTCTAACCCAGCTCTGCTGCTAGTCCATGGCTTAACCTCTCTGGGCTTTAGTTTTTTCATTCTGTTTATGAACAGAGATTTGTTTGAGGAATTGAGGATGGTTGAACAAGAATTAAGAGTCTTCATACCTCCAAAATTCTGAGTAGGCTCAGACCCTTGTTTAGAGCCTCTCTGTTCTTTCTCTTTGACTAATTTCAGCAAATTAGTTACTCCAGTTTCCCAGTTAATACTGGTTGGTGCCAGAGGTGGGGTGTGTGGGTGCTAACGCCAAGCACATGCCAGGAGAGCTGGAAGAGTGGGCAGAAACTGAGAGCACACAACAGGATGGAATACTTAGTGCTAGATCAAGGGCACACGCACACCTCAGTAACTCACTTCAACGGGAGCACTGTGTTATAGTTCCATGTGGGTGATGTTCATGACCTGACCCATACTCTCAAGGAAGAGTTTAATACTTAATGTCCTCTACTTAAGGAGTCAGGGAAATCTATATGATAGACATTGCCAAATACAACAACCAAACTTAACTAAAATATTTGTTCAAAAGTTGCTTAAATAAAGTGGGCCTTTTCTAGAAAAGGCTGGTTAAATGAGGTTTTACAGCACCACTCTGGTACACATGCCATGTCTGCTTTCATTTTATGGGCCTTAATGAAATGTGTTTATACCTTACATGGTCTTTTCAGGAAGGAAGTAGTTTTTAAAGTAGCTAAATTAACAAATTGTTTTACTCCTAATGGACCTAAAATATGTAGGAGTTGGTCAAGTAAGACTATAGTAATTTTGATCTTTAAAAGCCATCTTTATGAAAGTATCACCACAATGTACACTTTAAATATCTTACAATTTAATTTGTCAGTTATACCTCAATAAAACTAAAAGAAACAAATAGAAAAGTCATCTTTAAAACTAAAAAGTTACTTTGAAATGATATTTATATTCTCTACAAGATTTTTTACTTTTGTAACTTATTTCTTTGATTAGTGTCTAAATAAGATGCCTGGTTGCTGATAACTTGACTCACCTTTTAGATATTTGATTTGTGGGAGTTGACATCCTAAAGCTCTGAAAGAATATGCTCAGAGCCGGCCTTTCTGCTAGTGCTAATCCATAAGTACTATCAGGGTCTGAATCGAGTTTCCCTTTCCAAGTCATAATTTAAATAATTCAACCCCTGACCCAGTTGTCTATTTGAGATGAAAGAACTAAATTATTTAGCTCATGCAAAGCACTGAACTAGGTTCTGAGGGAAAACAACAAAGCAGAAAACTTACTACCTGCCCCAATCTTAGAACCCAAGAGTGTGTAGATGAGACAGGGCAGACATTATGTGATTAAAATACCTACGTGGGAGACAAAGTAGTGCCAGGTGGCTGATAGGGAACGGCACAGTGCTCACCAACAGGGTTTCTCCACCTCAGCACTAGTGACATTTGGGACCAGACAGTGCTTTGCTGTGGGGGGTCCTGTGCATTGTACGATGTTAAGCAGCATTTCTGGCCTCTTTCCACTGGATACTAGTAACAACTTCCTTTCCCCCAGTGTGACAACCAGAAATGTCCCTTGGGGAACAAAATTACTGTGGTTGAGAACCACTACTCCAGAAGTTTGCAGCAAGGAAGACTTGTAGTTGGAGTGACAGGGGAAGCTTTATGGAAGAGCTAGATTTAAGCTGGAACGTGAAGATTTTGGGGGTAAGATTTGGTTCCATGAGAGAAAAGCATTTTAAGAAGGAGGAAGTATGAGCAAATGCAAGAAGCATTTAGAGACTGAGTAGCCCAGCTTGGCCTGCTGGAAGAGCTGACATAAGGAGTATAGCGGACTGGGGCGGGTGCCTGGGGCCAGGCTGTGCAGGACACTGATTGAGGCTGTGAGAGAAGCAGCAGCATGCAGCCTCAGTGTCCAAGCAGGCTCTTTTGGTGAGGACACGTGGGTGAGGCTGATTAGGCTTACCTGGAGCTCTATGAGGAAGGTTGACACAGTCCATTAACAGTCTTGAACCATGTCTTTTCTTTGTCTTTGCCTCATGTAGGGGATCAGAAAACACCATCTTCTTTACTACCTATGTGAATGGCTCCTGCAGTAAGTATGTTTTAGTCCCAGGGGGTGTCCTGTCCATTCATGGTAGAGTATTCTGGGTTGTAAGAGGTAGGAATATCAAACACTCTTCTATTCTTCTGTAATTTTAATAGCTAAAATAGCTGTTGATGATTTTTAAAATCTTGAATGTACAACCAAATTACTATACTATGCCTAGATCAAATAAAAATACAGGCTGTACAGAAACACAATACTTGATTTCAGCAGTGCATTTACATAAAGTAAATATTGAGCTACAGACAGTAACACATTGAAATGATAGTGGTTTCTGCAAAAGAGCATGGATTGTGTTTGTGTCCATGGAAGCCATTGGCTTTCCAGTCAGTGGCACAGTTTCAAAGCAGAAAGCATACTTTTTCATCTAGTCATTTAACAAATTCATTTGTTCATTCATTTGAGCACCAGCAGAAGTATACTAAACACTGTCTAAGAGAACAAGAGACCCAAGGCCCTACTCTATGGAGCTAAATTCAAGTAGGGATCTTCAATGATCAACAAGAAAACCAAAAACTCAAGCAACTTAGAATAAGATCTTTTCAAATTATGTCATGAAGCAAGTAAACAAGATGCTGTAGCTGTGATGTTTCTCTGCAACACTATTGGAATTAAGTAAACTCTTATCTTTCTGTCCAGTGTAAAATCTCACATGTATAAAAAATAAAACCCAAGTGTGAATTCCCTATGTCTAATGCCACATCAGTTTATGTTCTCACTTGATTAATATGCATAGGATTAAAAATCCTAGGATATAAAATTAAGAACAATTCTAAAACAGTTGTTTGAACAAGAGGCTCACCAGTAAGTGAAATTTTAATTACTATTTTGTCTTGTTTAAGAAGCTGACCTTGGGGCGCTGGAATTATGGAGAACTTCAGACTTGGGGAAAAGCTTCAAAACCATTGGTGTGAAAATCTATTCATTTGGTCTTGGGGGACGTTTCCTTTTTGCCTCTGTGATGGCTGATAAGGTGGGTGTTTGCCTCTTCTCTTTGAGTTCTAATATTTCTGTAAATATGCCTCAAATAGATCCCTTTTACTATTTGTACTAACAGAGTTTCCTGCCTTTTTTGCATATTTAATATCACTGTAAGATTTGGAGGTGATCCTTTTAATAGAGGCTGATTGGCTCTTTGTGGGTATTCTGTGCTTCATCCTGTCATTACCACATAAATTCTGGCATCTATTTTGGGATATGGATGTCCCACATTAGGGCTTTACTCCAACATGGATATCTGAAAAAAACAATCTATTTGTTCATTATCTAATAATCATAATAGAAATAGGTAACATTAATTGAGTACCTAGCATAGAACAAAACAGAAAAATGTCCTGTTCTCAGAGTTTATAGTTAAGTAAGGGAGATACGATGTAATACCAGGTAATGATTAAAGCTATGAAAAAATGTAAAGCAGAGTCAGGAGACAGAAAGAGGCAGGAATGGGAAGAGGGCCGTTTTAGGCAGGGTGGGGTGGACATGCTCTCTGAGACCTGACTGGGGCAAGAGCACAGCTATGTGGACATCTAGGCTGAGGAAACAGTAAGTGCAAAGACCTCGGGCCGGAGCACGCTTGAAATATCAAAGAACAGTGGGAAGGGCAGTGTGGCTGGAACACAGAAAAGGGTGATCTAAAAAAGGGGAACCAGTGGTCAGATTATACAGGGCCTTAATAGGTTGTGATTAAGACCTTGGCTATTATTCTTACTGTGCTAGGGATCTGCGACCGGGTGTGATCTGGTTTGTCTTGGACAGAAGAGAAGTGTGCAGGACAGTCTGCAGGGCAGGAAGGGGAGCAGCAAGCACTGCTGGGAGGCTGTTAGTGTGAGAGGTGGATGGGGGGAGTGGTAAGATGGTGGATATATTTTTAAATGTATTGCCAGTAGGATTTGCTGATGGATTAGATGTGGACTGGGGGAGAATGATAGGCACTGAAGATTACTGTAGAGTCTTTTGGCCCAAGCAACTGGGTGAATGGTGGTGCTGTGTACTAAGATGGCAAAGACTGTAGGAGAAGCAGGCTCCAGGGAGGAAGGTCAAGAATTCTGTTTTGGATATGCGATGCTTAATAGATATCTAGTAAGTGGAAATGTCAAGTAAGTATTTGGGTATATGACTTTCTCGAAATTATATGGTATTTAGAGCCAAGGTGATACCTTCTGGAGTTGAGTAGTAGAGAAGAGATGGGAGGACTGAGCATGCCCTGAAGCACTGGACACTGAAAGGTTGGAAAGACGTGGAGAACCCAGCAAAGAAGACTAGGAGGGAGGGGGACCAGTGAAGCAGGGGAAATGACACAGTGTGAGGTCATGAAAGCCAAGTGAAAAAAGTGTTTTAAGGACGAAGAGATCAGCTGTTGAGTTCAGTGAGTGCTGAGAATTGTCCACTGGGGTTGGCGAAGTGGAGGTTGTCGGTGAGCTTGAAGAAAGCAGTTTCATTGCAGTACTGAAGTTAAAAGACTGATTAGAATAGGTCCAGAGAGAATTGGAGATGGGGAAGTAGGCACAGTAACCACAGTAATGCCCTCGAGCAATTTTGTAATAATCCTCCCAACAACCCTATAAGCTAAGACTGTCACTTTGATTTCTATATGAGGAAACTGAGTCACCTGTCTAGGGCCACCCTGAGGTGGAACCCTGGTGGAAATCAGAACGTCTGATTTCAGAGGTAGCCTCCTACACTGTCCTGCTACTGTCTACAAAATTAAAATTCTGCTATGTACTTTTGAACTCTTAACTTCTACCTATAACAATAAGATTCAAGGTGAACATCTTGGTAAAAGTTTTAGAAAAATAAATTAAATGTACTTGTCACTGAATTTTAAAGAGTATTTAATATACGGAGGCCCTGGGAGTCAGCCTCATGCCCTGGCTAACTGTGTCTAGTAGTTATTATAAACTATTTATCAGAAAGTAGATAGTAATTGCATCCTTAACAGACTCCTATTAATAGCCAACCCCTGCTCATCTTCCTTTTATTAATTTCTGATACTCCTTGGCTTCTTCCCAGCCTGAGTGTGCTCCCCTCATTATGGCTGATCAGAGAGCCTTCCTTAAAGAGAAGTAGCACATCCTGACTTCCTTGTGATCTCCCAAGCATGAGTTTCCTTCTTCTAGACCCTTTGTTATCTACTTCTTTGGATTATGCCAGGAGTATCTCAAATCAGCCAAATATTTATGCAGCCGTCATTTAAGAATTATCTGGGCAAGCATATGTGAATGGCTATGAAGCCAAACAAATGATGGTCCCATCACACCCCTGGCTCTGTTGAAAGAAATTAGAACATCAGAGGTTGGGAGGATAATATCTTATAGGCCACACTGGAATAAAGAAGCCAAAGAGAAGGCTAAGATAGCCTTGCTTATGATAGAATGGGTTGTCCCACTGACTTGAACTTTGCTGGAGCTTAGAAATTGCTTTGGTAGTTGGTACTGGGATCTTTCATTTATAACAGTTGTACTCAGTGTACCTATTATACCCCTCTACATGGTGCTTTGGCTGAAAATTAAAAAGGTAAATGTTGGCATTTGTTCCAGGATACAACAAGAAGGATTCACGTGTCAACTGATCAAGGGGACACGTGGAGCATGGCCCAGCTCCCCTCTGTGGGGCAGGAACAATTCTACTCTATTCTCGCAGCTAATGATGACATGGTGTTCATGCACGTAGATGAACCTGGAGGTGAGAACTCTTTAGTGACCCACTCTTAAATTCATAGAGATTTAAGCCTCAGGCCCTGCTTTTATAGTAGCTTTCCTTCTCACATGCCAGTTTTTCTTCCTACTCCTAGGAATTTATCAGTGTCCTACTGAATATTCTGTCTTAGAATAGATAACCTGCGTTAAAAAGGCCACTTGTTTTGCCATCGTATGGTTCGTGTGCATACGCAGGATATCCAAGTTTTCTACAACAGTGCTACTCAAAGAATGCTCAGAGTACCGCACCGACTTGCAAACTCTGTTACCAAATAAGTATGGGAAGTGAGAGCAAGCATTTAGACACTCATATAGTAGCCATTTGACAGTTACTTTTTATCTGTTGAATCTGACGATAAAAGAGTTGATAAGTACATTTTGTCTGTCTTTTGTATTTCATTTCTCTAGTGATTAGTTTATATATTTTTTACAAAAGCATTGGTTTATGACATAATGAAAATTTAAAATTGATCCTTCATCACAGATAGTTTGAGAACGTTGTTCCAGAGTATAAAGATTTAGAGATGTGTAAGATATGAATCTAAATACAGCGCTTCTGCCACCAAAATATATCTGGTAAGAGCTTTTCTGCAGCATCTGATTAATTCATGCAACAAACTCAGCATCGACCACATTCCAGGCAGTAAGTAAGATGGGAACTAGAATTAAGATGACACGAAGATCTTGAGTATCGAACCTTGATTGAATCTCAAGTCTGTCTGCATCATGAAGAGAGACAGTTGGCTAATGTGCAGTCATTCAGTCATGTATACACTTAGACTGTTACTGCCTGTTTCCTCCCAAGACTTAGTGTTTTTGTTTGCCTGTTTTAGATACTGGGTTTGGCACAATCTTTACCTCAGACGATCGAGGCGTTGTCTATTCCAAGTCCTTGGACCGACATCTCTACACCACCACAGGCGGCGAGACAGACTTCACCAATGTGACCTCCCTCCGTGGGGTCTACATAACAAGTGTACTCTCTGAAGGTGACTCTTGGCACAACTGTCCTTCAGCTGAACATGCTGGGAGTTGAAGCTTGTAGGGGGACAGACTGTCCTGTCCCCACAGTAACATTGCTTACCTGGCCAGCTGCCTACCTATGTAAATTCTGGCTCTCCACTTTAAATAAGTTATGGTGAATAGAACTAAGAAAGAGCAAAGCAAGAACTCTTTGGGGGGGCTCGATGTTCTTTAGTCTATAAAATAAGTCTTCCATATTGGGGCATTCAGACCTATGGGAATGAGCCCAAATTTGAACCTCCAGCTTTTCTCCTTGTCAAGGACATAGCTGCAGCCAGCTGAGCTACTCTGCTCAGTGGTTCTGCAGTCCACTTACACAAATAAACACATTACTCTAAAGTACAGAGACTCTTTAAGATTTTATTTATGTATTTATTTTATGATAGGAGGTGGGGGTGTTTGTTTTTGTGAAGACCTCACAGTGGTCTGGAAGGTCAAGTGATGTCAGCCCCCTATTTCCTCCCCAACTTCTCCTTCCCCTTTTCCTCCCCCACGTCTCCTTCGCTCACTCTAGTCACTCCGGCTCTCAACCGCTCCTGACACACACCAGGCTCACCCACCCATGGTTTAGAGATTTGCACTGACTGTTTGCCCAGGTATCTGTGAGGCTGACCCCTTCCTCCTTCCAGTCTTTGCTCACATTTACTTTCTGAACGAGGCCTGCCCTGACTGTCCTGTTTTCAGTCTCAGTCTGCCCTCTCTCACTCACACTCAGTGTTAGTCCCCCTCTAGCTTTGCAAGTTTTCTCCATAGCACTTATTTTCTAGCATTCTATATAATTTACCTGCTTACAGCATCTGGTGTTTGTCTGTCTCACCCTACTAGAATGCATATTTCACAAAGGTTTTTGTTTTTTGTTTTCCAGTTTTGTTCACTGTTATATTCCCAGAGGCTTACAATAGTTTTCACATAGTGGGCACACAAAAATATTTATTGAATAAGTGAATTCATCTTGATTTGCTTTCTTATTTAATTTTCCTTAGAAGACTTAAAGCATGTTATCTCTGAATTTAAACCTGCAACAGTTTATATCATGGAAAACAATGAAGAAGAGACATGAGGGGAAAAGAAAAGATATAAGAGGGATAGGATATGAGGTAGTGGAAAACAAAAAAATGGGAATTATTAATTTGGACTTATGCACATACATTAAATCTTGAGATTCCCTAAAAAGCGCAGTATCATGGCCTTGTCTGTAAAGACAAGTAACAGTGAGATGCCTTCCCATCATAGAGCGTGCTTTCAAGGCAAGGACAAGCAGGGAGAAGGGACGTCAGCCTGTCTGTGTCAGTGAGGAGATAAAAGGTATCTTTTCTCAAGAGTGTCAGTCTAGATGATGTCTGGAATCCATTGAGTTCTATTCAGGTGGGAAGCCTCCTTCAAATACGGTATTTAGAGTGCTGCTGAGTTACCAACACTGAGCCATCCTATTGGGTATTATGAGCTTATTACAGGGTTGTAATGGACTTACAGAGTCTCAATTAGGAGAGAGTTCTGCAATGAGAAACCAAACTTAGCAGGGCGCTTTAGGGGTATCAGGCTTAATAACCATTCTCTCTTCCCATCCAGATAATTCTATCCAGACTATGATCACTTTTGACCAAGGAGGAAGGTGGAAGCACCTGAGGAAGCCTGAGAACAGTGAATGTGATGCCACAGCAAAAAATAAGAACGAGGTTTGTTTTATTCCAAACGTCATATGTATTTGGAGCAAAGCAGCCACTCTGTTCTGCTGTTACTGTCCCAGGCTTTGGAATAGTGAAGTGTCATACTTGATTAGGGTCCACAGGTAAAAGTGGGAAGTTTGGAAATGAGAGTAATGAAACAACTTAAAATGTAGGAACTAGGAACTGTGAAGAAAGGCCACAAATAATCCACTTGTGGATTATTTGACTTTCAAAGAAAAACAAAACCAAGGGCTAACAGTTTGTGTTTTATGAAACTGCTGAGTGGGAACAGAATGGACAAATGGGCCGGTGATTAGTGAGGAGTCCGCGTGGCAGCTACGAGAAATTAGGAATTCTACAAAATCCATAGACCAGCCATTGATAAGCAGTGCAAAGCCATGCTGGCCAGAAGCAAGAGAAGAGAACTTGGCCTTGTCTTCCCCTCTGCCTGGGCACCACACAGCTGGTGGGTAGTGGCCTGGCAGTGCCTGTGGAAGCAGAAGGTGACCCCTCTGAGGAAAGACCGAGAACAGGGAATACAAAGGTGTTGCTCCAGGAGATCCCAGATTCCAGGAGTGACAGGTCTTGACAGGCAAGAAAGAAAGAAAAGAAAAACAAGCTTTGTGCCTGGGTCTTTCAGACTTTGAGAGGAGCTTAGGGTAACACTAAGAGAGTTTTCTTCCAAAAATGACAGTTTTGGTCATTCTGAGTTCTCCTCTGAATACCTGTGGCTAATGTGTAGTCTGCTGTTCCAGGCTGGGTTTCCTGCCTTGCTTTAAGAGCCTCACACAGTGTGAGCTTAAACTGTATCTACCACACCCCCAATGCTCTCTCTCCCTTCTCCATACTCATCAATTTGGTAGAGTCTCTCTCCCTTCTCGCTCTTCCCATCCCCCTACCACACCCTTGCCCTGCACTTGTTCTCCTTACCTTAAACCTAGGCAGTGCCGTGGCCTCTTTTTTTGTCTTGCTTCCCTCACACTCCATGCCTCTCCCTCCCCAGCACTTCTGGCTCCCCTTTGCCTATGAATAAAGTCTTTGATCTCTTGACTAAAGATCCTCTCCTCCCATCAGGCTCTCTTCTGTTTTATCCATGTCACAGTCCACTTTGTCACTGACACACCCCTTGTTGTCATCCTCTTCTGCTCCATCACCACCCCATGTGTGCCCCTGCCTCTGTGGCCTTGCTGACATTATTCCTGGAGCAGCTGGGCCCATCTCCCCCACCCCGATTCATTAAGCTTCATGAAAATCCCGACCACCCTCACTGCCCATCCGTCTTCGCTCAGAACTAATCATTCATTGTTTGCTTGAGGCTCTTTTATTTTGCAGTAAAATATACATGACATAAAATTAACATTTTAAGTAATTTGAACCTCTTTTAAAGTACTAACTTGCATTCTGCTTTATACCTCAACTAGCTTCAGAAAAATATTTCTTAAAGATAGGACTGGGTCTTATTTCTTTCTTTTTTTTTTTTAAATTTTAAAATTTAATTATTTTTCAACTACAGTATTCTGTCTTTTACTCCCATCCCAGCCCACCCCCCCAGGACTGGGTGTTATTTCTGATCAACACCACATCTTGTACAGTATCTGAACTATGCCAGGCATTCTCTAGGTTTTTGTAGAATCATACTTCAAATATTGACCGGAGGCTTTGGTGTAATGCAGGAATAGAATAAGCTAAGATTATACATGAGAAAATAGTTGCATAATTGCTCCCAAGTATACTAACGTGTTTCAAAATCAAGATTCTCAAAAACAAAAAATCAAATAGATCGAACAAAATGAGCAAAGGATTTGAACAGACATTTCTCTAAAGAAAATATACAGATCATAAGCACATGAAAAGATGCTCAACATTAGTAATTATTAGGGAAATGCAAATCCAGACCACAGCAAGAGACCATCTCACACCCATTAGGACAGTTACTATAAAAAAATGAATAAATAACAAGCATGGCAAGTATGTGGACAAATTGCAACCCTTGTGCACTGTTGGTGGGAATGAAATGTGATACAGCACACTATAGAAAACAAAATGGAGAGTCCTCAAAAAATTAAACATAGAACTATCATAGATCCAGCAATTCTACCTCTGAGTATATATCCAAAAGAATTGAACAGAGGGTCTCAAAGAGATATTTGCACACTCATGTTCTCGGAAGCATTACTCACAACAGACAAAAGGTAGATACCATCTAGGTGTCTATGGACAGATGAATGAATAAGCACAATGTGGTCTGTACACACCATGAAACATTATTCAGCCTTAAAAAGGCAGGAAGTTCTAACACATGGATGAATCTTAAGGACATTATGCTAAGTGAAATAAGCCAGTCACAAAAAGACAAATGCACTGTGGTTTCACTTGTATGAGGTACCTACAGAGTGAAATACATAGAGACGGAAAGCAGAATGATGGTTGCCAGGGGCTGGGGGGAGGGAGGAATGGGTAGTCATTGCTTAATGGATACAGAGTTTCAGTTTTGTAAGATGAAGAAATTCCAGAGAAAAATAGTGGTGGTGGTTACACAAGTGTGAATGTACTTAACACTACTGAACTGTTCACTTAAAAATGGTTAAGATGGTAATTTTTATGGTGTGTGCATTTTATCATAATCTTTTTTAAACGAGTATCCCACTGAGGTCTGGGTTAGGTTTATTAGAAGGCTCTAGGAGATAAGTAAAAAATTATATCTTTGGTTTTAATCTAAGTTTTGCTTTCTTTTCACAGTGCAGCCTTCATATTCACGCTTCCTACAGCATCTCCCAGAAACTGAATGTCCCGATGGCCCCCCTCTCAGAGCCCAACGCTGTGGGCATCGTCATTGCCCATGGTAAGCAGCCCTGCCCTCCTCTCCTCCGGAAGAAGGGGCTGACACACTGAAAACTCGGGCTTTATTCACCTCACAAAAAATCACCATAGCTTTCGCCATCCTTTGTAGAATTTCCTTTTTTTTTTTAAAGATTTTATTTATCTTTAGAGGGGAAGGGAAGGAGAGAGGGAGAGAAATATCAACGTATGGTTGCTTCTTGTGAGTCCCCTGCTGGAAACTGGCCTGCAACCCAGGCATGTGCCCTGACTCGGAATTGAACCATGATCCTTTGGTTTATAGGCCCATGCTCAATCCACTGAGCTACACCAGCTAGGTCTAGAATTTCCTTTTTTTAAAAAAACATTCTATTTATTTATTTGTAGACAGAAGGGAAGGGAAGGGGAAAGAGAGGGAGAGAAACATCAATATTTGGTTTCCTCTCACACACCCCACATCAGGGAACCTGGCCCACAACCCAGGCATGTGCCCTCACTGGGAATTGAACCAGCAACCCTTAGGTTCTCAGGCCAGCGCTCAATCCACTAAGCCACACCACCCCAGGCCTTGGTAGAATTTTTCTTACATGATAATAGTACTTCAGGTTGTTCGTGGACCACCACCACCACCCCCCCCCGCATCAGACTGGCCCCAAATTTTCAGCAACCTTTTTTCTATCACAAGAAGGATGATAGGAAAAAATCAGAGTAAATTCACTCAAAACTAGCCTCTTCGCCTTATGTCCTCTCTTGTTTATTTGCTGATCTGTGCTGAGGAGATGGTGGATTGTGTTGCAGGTAGCGTGGGGGATGCCATTTCAGTGATGGTTCCGGATGTGTACATCTCAGATGACGGGGGTTACTCCTGGGCGAAGATGCTGGAAGGACCCCACTACTACACCATCCTGGACTCTGGAGGCATCATTGCGGCCATTGAGCACAGCAGCCGTCCTATCAATGTGATTAAGTATGCATGAGCTCAGCTGCCCCCACACTATCTGCGTAGAGGGCAACTGTGGGAAGTGTTTCAGGGCTCACTGGGGGGGAGTGACGGGCCCCAATTTAAATTTGTGCATTCTGCAGAACTGTAGGAAGGTTCTTAAGGGGATTATATTTAGAGCAACTCAGATTCAATGGCTTGCTTTTTTCTCTGACTCCCTCTAGTTAACACTTTGTGTAACTTTTAAAAATATTATTCTTTGTCTCCACAAGAATATTATGGAAACGTTTGAACATTATGGATGGGAAATGACTCCTTAAGTAAAAGTTCATGTAAAATAATTTCTGTTTGTTGAATTGGAAGCCCATTCTTACATGGGTCACTACTTTCTCTTTCCTTTGAAAGAATTTTTATAAAGGCATTTTTTCCCACACTTTCTGAATGAATCACTTTTCCTAATCTGTTAACCACAGGCATTAAAAGCTGATTTAATAGTAAGCCATCACCTAAATATGAGGGTTCTCTGATCTGGGACCTAACAGCAGAGTGGTTTCCTGACGTTCCTATCTATGGTGACCCTCTGTCATGGTCTCTCTCTGATGGGGGTTTCAGGTTCTCCACAGACGAGGGGCAGTGCTGGCAGACCTACACATTCACCAAGGAGCCCCTCTTCTTTACCGGCCTCGCGTCAGAACCTGGAGCAAGGTCCATGAACATCAGCATCTGGGGTTTCACAGAATCTTTCCTGACTCGCCAGTGGGTCTCCTACACCATCGACTTCAAAGATATCCTGGAAAGGAACTGTAAGTGTCTCCCTTGACCTTTTCTACCAGAAACTTATCAGCCCATTTTTTCCAAATAACCAATTCAGTTTAATTTGTTTTCACTGGAAAAAGAACATGCATGGGAAAGGGAATGGGAGGACGTTCCCTGTGAGTAATCAGACATGGAGTTTGGACAGGCACTGTCCAAGAGAAAGAAAATGAGGGCCACAAATGTAACTTAAGTTATTCTTTGAGCTACATTATAAAAGTAAAAGAGGTGAAAATAATTATAGTAATATAATTATTCAGTATACCCAAAATATTATCATTTCAATATTGCAAGCAGTATTAAAATTGATCAGTGCAATATTTTATGTTCTTTTTCTTCTACATCTTCAAAATCTGGTATATATCTTAAACTCATCCTTACAGTAAGTTTCAGTTCAGCTCTGCACCGTTAGATCTCTGGAACACTTTCTGAGACCTTTTCCTGCTTGTAAGGATAATGCATGCTTGTGTTTGTCTCAAATTATTTCATAACATTTCAGGGTTTTTTACCCCTGGTTACAGCAGATCTATAAAGAGGAAACTTTAGAGGAAAGTGTGTTGCAAAAGCATCTAATCGACTATGTCACTTATTAAAATGTTGAAGGGGAATTTTCATGCCAAGAGTTTTGGCTTGAACACTGGTCACAGGCAAGGCTCTGGAAAGGCTACTGGGCGGGCATGGAGCCTACACTGACCTTCAGAGTTCTGTGACTTCGAACTAGAAGGCATGCAAAAGGCCCAGTGAAGGGCTTCAGGAAAGGGATTGAAATGTTAATTGCAGGGTATTCTAAAGAATCACAAGCACACCCAAGCCCCAATACCAAAGATGCTGACATTGTACTGAAAAATGTGGAGAAAGGAAAACCTGAAGAAAAGGTGACTACCCTGTAACATGTATCCTGTAGTTACTTATTGGCATCGTAAGATAAAAGACTTGAGTCAAGACACTGGTTGAATTTTGGGCCTATTAATTAGATTGTATTATGGGTCTGTTTCCTCAGAATGTTAATTCAGTGACTCCTGGAGGAAGCTGTCACTTGGACCTTACTTTTCTAAAAACTATTTAACTATGATTTAATATTTCAGAGTCATCATTATCTAAATTCATTAAATAGGCTGGAAAGGAGTTGGCTTCCATGAGTTTTCCCTCAGCCGGCAGCTCCGCAGTCATCCCTAAAGTTTGTCAGAAAAGATTCAGTGATCACCAGCTCTCAGCCAGGCTCTGTGCTGGTCTTCATTTCCTGAAGGATAGAAGCCTAATCCACAGTCTTTAGACCATAGCCTTTGAGTCATTTTTCCAGGAGTGGATGATACTAAGCCTGGTTAACCATCATCAACAGTTGTCACTTGACATCCAGTTGACTAGAGTTAGAAGACTGGACAGAAAATGTTTCTCCTTCTGTTTGAAGCAAACTGACCTATGCTTTTGGCTCATTAGTGTCCTACCCTCAAGGAACACATCCGGTTGCTGACCTCGGGCAGCTCCTGTGAGCCGAGGGCATAGGTGCATGAGACGCGCAGTCAGCAGCCTCTCAGTTTGGAAGGAACCCTAGAGATCCTCGGTCCTGCTTCCTGCCTTGAAACAAATGAGGGTTTTCCCAGTACTCACATGAGTGGTGGGATGCAAATCGTCCTCCCTTGGCATGAGGAAATGCTAGCTGCTAGTAGGCTCCAACTAATGTAACTTTGGTTTGCACTTCCAAAGTGAAGCAATGGGTCGAGTCAGAAACCCCCACTGTTCCTCCCCTTGTCCTTCCTGCTGCCTGGCCTCCCGTGGGTGGGTTCTGTTCCGCGCAGTTTCCTGAACAACCCGTCTTTCCTTCAGGTGAAGAGAAGGACTATACCATATGGCTGGCTCACTCCACAGACCCTGGAGATTATGGAGATGGCTGCATTTTAGGCTATAAAGAACAGTTCCTACGGCTGCGCAAGTCATCTGTCTGTCAGAATGGCCGGGACTATGTGGTGACCAAGCAGCCGTCCGTCTGTCTCTGCTCCCTGGAGGACTTCCTCTGGTATCAGCACCCTTGGTTCCCTGTCAGCCCCTTTCCCATGCCAGAGGCAGTGGAATACAGTTGTCTTAGAGGACTAAACAATATTTCAACCCTTTTAGTTCTCTTCTTCCCCAAGGATGGAGAACTGCTGCTTCTCATTCAGGAAATTGAGGCACAGAAAAAGGGAACGAAAGTTGTTAATTATTGGACAGATACTGTTATGACATCGGACAGTTAATTACTGGGCAGAACCAACAGCAACCCCCAGAAATCCTGACTTGGCAGTGATAGGAAGGAGAGAGGTAAATAAGGAGGAAGAGAATTTAAAAAATAGAGAGCAGTGGTGATAGGATAAAAACCCCAAGGAACGTGGCACAGGAGCTAAAAGGGCATTGGACTTGAGCAAATAGCTGATGGCCTGAGTTAGCAGGGCAGGCACCAGGTTTGGGTCATATGCAAGACTGAAGGCAGAGAGAGTGTGATTCTTGCCTGAGACAGGAGTTGACAGCAATATATTTATGGTCCCTATGTCCCATCAAGGTTTCGAAGCCATCAGGGTGAATTCCCAGAGTTCAGGACCATTCAAGCTTACGTAGTTGGCATGGGGTTAGTTGATAATACAAGGGCAAGGGAGTCCCTAAGTAGCCTAAGCAAGGTAATGAAGTAATCTTATGGAACTCATTACCTGCAAAACATAGTGACAGGAAGTACAAGATTTAGAAAAGAAGGCAGGCCAACAGCAGTCATGTTCCCCCATGACATACTCCCAAACCACAGGTGACAGGCCTGGGACTGAGCACACTCCAGTCTGACCCCATGTGAGCCGTCCCATATGGCTCACATCTGCTGTGGGATGGCCAGGGGTCCTCCTTTGCTTTTTCCACACAGATGAGAGGGAGAGTACCCCTCCTGTCACTTTGGTTTGTTACATAGGGCTGGAGCTTATTGACACTGAAACTCTTAAGGCTGCCTCCACTCTCGACTGCATGTAGGCTGGCTCTTCCTTATGGAGCTTCTCCTGTTGTCCAGACATGCTGTGCTTCTCCTGAGCTCTGAGCCACTGCACATGCCACTTCACCTGCCTGGAAAATCTCTCCATATTCCCTGCTTGACCCCCAAACCTAGTGGATTCCTTCTTGGCCTTTAGTGCTGAGTTCAGATACCACCTCTTTGAAGCCTTCCCCAGCTTTCCCTTATCTAGGCTCCCACAGAACCCAATCAGAGCGCTTACTGTGTTTTAATCATTGTGTTTGCTTACACCACTAAATTCTAGACTGCTGAGGGCATATCATATTCGATCATCATGTAGTAGCAGTGACAGCCACGGGCATTTCCAGAGCACTAACTGTACCTGGCACTGGCCTGAGCAGTGTACACAGAGCCTCAGCAGCTCTGTGAGATGGGTACTGTTGTCATTTCCATTTCACAAAAGGAATAGGAAGTGAAAGTGCAGAGAGGTTATGACTACCTTGACCATAATCACCCATCCAGGAAGTTGTAGTGCTGGCATAGGAACCTGGCAGTTGAGCCCCGGAGCCCATACTCCACCACACGTACTTGAGGAATGTGTACTTTGCATGGGGTTTTGGATTGAATACCTGAAATTTTTACCAGAAGTTTTCCCCCTGCTCTTGGAGGAGTGGTGTCTTCTATATCTTTTGTTCCCCCTACTCCCTTCCCTAAATATTTGTCAGGAAAACCCTCAAGTACAAGCAATATCTATGTATCCCCCAAATATTCACTAAATACTTGCAAAGTGAGAAATGGAAGGTTTGTAAGGGAGTCTTGGGTAAGATGCGCGTAATTATGTTGTGAAACAGCAGGTAGTAAGTGCATCAGGGATTTAGAGAAGGAAGAGGCCAGCTAGAACTGAATGAGGTGGGTTAAAGAAGGCTTTGCTGGGGAGGTGGCATTTGAGCTGAGCCCTACAAGGGGTAGGATTTGACCTTGTGCACCTGAGACGATGCAGGTCATTAAAGCCAGTAGATGGGTATGGGTATGATCAGGAAGGGTGTGCTGGAAGATAGGTCATGAGGGGAAGTCACTGTATTCACAATAGAGAAGGAAGTAGGGTCCAGATAGGGGTGCTCAGGCTGAACTTTTGACTTAGATGATGGGAAGGAAGGTAGTGTCATTGACAAATGTAAGGAAGTGATAGGAAAGGCTGGCATGGCATGAAGGATGGAACAGGATGTGTTTGGAATGTTTTATTTATTTGAGGTTTTGCCAGCAGATTTAGGTGCTGATGTCCAGCAGGTATTTGGAACTGAAGGATTAGAGCTCAAGAGAAGTAAAACCTGAATGTTTTTCTTACAACAAATAGTTAAGCTTACAAAGGGAGAGCAGATACAAAATAAAAAATGAGTCCTAGAACCTTGGAAAACATCTGTGGATTAGGAAGAGAGAAGAGCCATCAGTGATCAGAGAAATGGACAAGTACAGTTTTGCAGTGTGGAAGTGGGCAGGAGCATGGAGCTGTGTCACATGGTCAAGGTGAAAGGCTAGAGAAGGCTTGGCTAGATTGGATGATTAGTGAGCCCTTGGGGTAGAAAGAGGCTCAGACATTCATTTTCAAGGTTGCAGATGGGGATGAAGCTAAAATGCACAAAGTTAAAAGTAAATGGATAAAATAGAACAAGTAAAATGTAGTCTTTTAGGAAATTTGGCCAATAAGGCAGAGTAGGGTGAAGGAAGAGGACACATGCAGGCTAAGGAGAAGATGCCAGGTGAGTGGATGGTCCCTCCTACATTTTCAATGAAGCAGGGCCCCAGGGCATTGTGAAGGATGGGCCAAGGATGCTCGTGCTGGGAGTCCACTCTGAGAGAAGGCAGTGCTGTTTCCTTGTGGACAACAGGAAGGAGAACAGATAAGCAGTGCTGTGGAGAGATGGCACAGAATGGAGGGCAGGACAGGACATTCACATTGACAGCAAGGACCATCTAAGAAACTAAGGGGGTCAGCTATGGGAAAGGCAGGAAAGGCTTGCAAATACCTCATGGTATACCTCCAAACAGCATAATAATGAGTTATTTGGAAGTAAATAAAAGGATTATTAATTTAGATCTGTGGCTGATACACTGTTTCTCCATCTTAGTTGCGTGAGTTCCCCACCCCATGCGGGCTTCCTGGAGCATGAACTGTCTGTGCGAGGTTCCCAGCCTTGGTGCTCCCAACTACCAGTCCTAAGTCCACCAGGCCAAATCCATAGCTCTTTCTCTGCAATTAAGCCCTTTCCATGCCTGTTTTCCTAAGTGGACCTTCTTTATAGATGCCACAGGCTTTCCTGAGCTGCTTTCTGGCAACCCAGGACTGGAATATGAGTCATCCACTGCCCCACTTCAAAATCTTACTGTCTTTCAGCAACTTTAAAAGATACTTTACTTGATGACTCTTGCAGTGATTTTGGCTACTTCCGTCCAGAAAATGACTCCAAGTGTGTGGAACAGCCAGAGCTGAAGGGCCATGACCTGGAGTTTTGTCTGTATGGCAAAGAAGAGCACCTGACAACAAATGGGTGAGATTGCTTTTATCCACACAGAGATATGAGCAGTGTTCTAGTACACTCTAGAAAAATACTGTCTAATAGAACTTTCTGTGATGATGGAAATGTTCTATAATCTTCTGTGTCCAGTATGGCAGCCACAAGCCCCGTGTAGCTATTGACATACGTGCGACTGAAGAACTGAATTAATTTTTTATTTAAATTTAAATAGCATCATATTAGACAATGGCTCCAAAGGAACCTCATTGCTCCCTTCCCCTAATAAATATTGCCCCCTCCCATTTCTGAACTATGCTATGTCAATGTGCTTCCTGAGTCACAGTTCTTTGGCACAGTCTCTTGAGGCAGAAAGGAGGCATGTCCCTGCCATAAGGCCAGGGGTGCTTGGTCTGTTCAGGGCCTGAAAATACAGAAAAACACACCCAAAACATCCCTATGGATCTCCCTGCACGCCTGAAAGATGGTGTAAGGACAAGAAGCTTTTCTGTAGTTTTTCAAATCTTGTTTTCAGAAAATAGGCAAGAATCCAGTAATACATTCCTGTATTCTGTTAACAAATTTTCTCTGCCTTTCAGGTACCGGAAAATTCCAGGAGACAAATGCCAGGGCGGAGTGAATCCAGTTCGGGAAGTAAAAGACTTGAAAAAGAAATGCACAAGCAACTTTTTGAATCCAGAAAAGCAGGTATGTTAAAGTAGATGTGGTTTAGGCCCAAGTGGGGTTTCCTGTTCTGCCAGGAATAGTCAGTTACACCATCAGGAATTTTATTACTGAACACAAAGTGGCCAGACAACTCCTGTCAGCCTTTCTTTTGCACAGGAAACTGTCAGGATGAAGGAAGGGTCACGTGACCTTATGATGAGCTCATCTACTGAAAACTTTTTTTGTTGGGGAAAAAATAGTATTTGTAAAATTGTTGCAAGTCTTAGAAGCATAGTGTTGAGGAAATTTCTGAGGCTTCGGGTCATTTAGGAAAGAGTCAAGAAGTTTGGCTGTAAAGGGCTGGAGTTTTGCGCATGCAGAAGAGCGAGCACTGGACCACAGATAGGATAGGTCTCTGTGCCAAGTCATAGCAAGTGTGTTCAAAATGAAAAACTGAACTACGCTAGTAACAACTGGTTTTGACTTAAAAGCAAGTTATGCAGGACCTGACAGATCTGCATAATTGTCAATGGGATTGACTGGGATTTGGGGACATGGTAAAGAGGAAACATGAATAAAGAAGCACTGGACCAGCAATGTGACCTGGGGCAGTAAACTGTGGGCCTGGTTTCCTAGTCTGTAAAACAAGAGATGGACAACCGGCAGTATCCCCCTCTTCTATAACTTCTGAGGGATGAGGGCCTGACAAGGGGCAGGGTGAAGAAGGAAGAGGTTGAAGATGTGTGGGTGTGTGTACCTGTGTACCAGAGGAGGGGGCTAGTTCCTCCTCTGCACCCCTCCCCTGAACTCCTGGTGGCTGTCCTCAGAGTGTTTGTGTGTGTGATTGCACAGGACTCCCGCTCACAGGGACACAACTTGTCCCAGAATCCAGCTCCGTCTCCTCTTGGAAACACTGAAAACACACACTCCCTCTCTCCCACCCAGATGCAGGTAGGTCACACTCAAACAATGATATGAAAAGGCTTATTTGTAAAAACATACCAAAAACTAAGTAAAAAGATAAATCTTGGTGTCATATGAGAGCCTGCCTGAAATAGTGTTGACATGGCTTCTCGCCAGCTGATCACCCTGTTCTAGATTTATTCAACCCACTGTTCCCAACATCTCCCTTTCTTGCTCCACCCTTAAAAGCTGTAAGGCTTATAAACAGTAGTAGTGGGAAACAGTCACAATTACCATCCAACCTAAGAAGTTGCTAAGGCTTCCACTATAACTTTGACATTGAAGCCACTGCTTTTGCACCATTCTGACTGCTTCAAGGCGGCTGAAGTTCTGGTGACCCCCTGCCAGCTGTGACATTCTCCTGGTTCATCCTCCTGAGATGGCTCATTTTGGGGGTTGGAAGAGTAGCATCATGAAATGCCTAGAGACTGCAGATCACTCAGAGGAATGAGGGGAATTGGCAGCTTCTTTGAACTCAGTCCTAGAATATACACACCTGAAATTTTTTGTTTGTGTTTTAATTTATCAAGAACTCCAAGTCAAATTCTGTCCCAATTATCCTGGCCACTGTGGGATTGATGATAATCACAGTTGTAGCAGGAGTGCTGATTGTGAAGAAATACGTCTGTGGGGGAAGGTAAGGAACATAGAAGTCCATCAGAGGTGTGATACGGACACTGGCCAGCAGTGTCCACGGTGTTGCAGATAAGACAAGACAAATTCACATGGACCACTGAAGTCCTATGGAGGAAAAGGGATGGCACAGCCACTCTCTCAAGGGAAGAGCACCCAGACCATTGCCTTGGCAGGATTTTACTGGGTTTAATTTATATAGGAGTAGAGGGTGTATAGGTAAAGCTCATCAATCACTGTCAGGTGGAAATGATTAAGCAATAGATAACATTCAGAGAACTCTCCGGGCTTATTCTGAGTCAGGGTCAGATAGTTAAAGGGCCATAAAACTTTAGGGAACAAACTCACTTCATGCTTGGACCCTTATCATTTAAATTGAGGGTATTAATAAAGTAGGTTTCATAGGATTTTATGCATTCTTTCTTATGCCTATCACCGTAGTGAACCTGCCCTTTCTAGCACAGAGCTGCACCCACCTCCAGCATTGTTTCAGGCTTAAGGCATTGTTTCAGGCTTAAATCAGGCAGGGGAAATAAGGCAGCCAAGAGATTAGGAGACTTCTGGCAGACTGAATGAAGACTCAGGCTATATCAAGGTTGAGGGGTGAAGGCCCATCACCCCCTTTTTCTACAGCACCCCAAGTCCTTCCCTGAGGGGTCCCTTCATTACTGTGCCTGTCTTAGATCATCCTTCCTTTGAGGAATGTTACCTGTCATTGGCTAACCAGTCACCTGCCTCGGGCCAAGCAAGGTGAGGTGAAAGGGAGGCAGAGGCAGTGCCCCTACAAGGAAGATAAGTTTTGTCTCCTAAGTGGCTTATGGTTCCAAGGTCCTTTACTCAGCCTTAGCCACTAGGGGTTACAGTTTCTGAAATCAGGCAGGGCAGTCCCCAACAGAGGTGCTGTGCTGCATTCAAACCAGAAAGTCAGCCAAGGACAAATGGTTGAGCTTGCCCTTAGCAAAAAAGAAGTGATGTGAAATAGGCCCACATCTTCTCAGATCTTTTATTTTCCATATGCCAACTATGAGCTGTGCTTCCTGTGTGTGCCACTCATTTCATGAGTGTATAAAACTGGAAAAATCCACAGTCCTGTAAGAAATACACCCTTCCTCACAGCCCTGGGGTTAACAGAGGTTTCTGCGTACAGGTTCCTGGTGCATCGGTACTCGGTGCTGCAGCAGCATGCTGAGGCCAATGGAGTGGACGGTGTGGATGCTTTGGACACAGCCTCCCGCACTAATAAAAGTGGTTATCATGATGACTCAGATGAGGTGAGACTATTTCTTTTTGGAGGGTAGTAGAGGAGTACAAAAAAGAGTGAGAACCATTCTTTTCTTTGAAAAGAATGATCATGCATTCTTTTCCTGTGCACGATCAAGATATAATTGAGGCAAATGAAGTTATAAGCTAGAAGAGGAAACTTAATGCCTGTAAGATTTGGCCAGCCAGAAACAACGTTATTGCTTTCAAAATAGGAGTTTTTTAGTCTCTTCAGTAACATGGTCTATGTTTTTTTCAGGACCTCCTGGAATAGGTCCTCAAAGGAGCTGGGACCGAGCATGGATGATGGAAATGCAGTACCTCTTACACTCCCTGTGGCTCCGACTTGGGGAAATAAATTTCCCATTTCAAGAGACCCAGCTCCATTTCTGCTGCTTCTGTCAAAGCCAGAAGGACCTCCACTAAAGAAATGCAAGGGAGTGGGGTGGGGGCAGAACCCTAAACACTTACAGTTGGCTCTGAGAAGGGGGGGCAATTTTTAAATCTTTAACTTCTTATTTCAAGTTCTGTCTTTTTTAAAAGTATGGGCTTTTTTGGTTTTGTTTTTGTTTTCTAAGGGAAATGAAATGGAATTTGAAGGGAACAGATCACTAACTCCACTCCTGCATGTTTTGCATGGCACCTGCCCCAGGGCACCGCCAGCTCCATCAACTCCCACAAAGTACTCGGTGCCGTCCCTAGGCTTTGCTGGTGACACGAAGCAGCTGCAGAGATGAACACAAAGGCCATGGTGACTAGCATGACCTGGGCAGCCTTTCTGCATCTGGGGACAGCCCTGCTCCAAGATTGCTGCACACAAGCTCACACAGATCCCCACCTTGTTTTCTTTTCAGGGACCAGAGATCACAGTGATTTATCTTTTTCCTGTTTAATTAGGCAATACCCTTGTTAATTGCCCATTGGCAACTAACTTAACCATGTGCTTCCAAGACACTAAATCAGGAAAACTTAAAGGGCAGTATTTTCAACTGGGGGCAGGAAGAAGGGAGCAGCAGAGAATTGACTAGATTTAGCACCTATTAAAGGAGAAATTCTTCCTTCTTCCGAGATCTTTCAAGCCATGCTTTGTGTGTGTGCCAGTGGACTTGCACAAGGACAGGGTTCAGGTTTACCCTGGATGTTTGCCCAGGCCGAGTAATCTCTGCTAGAATTGATGGTGGCATGCCCAGTGCCGCCCCAGAGGACTGAACACTGTCTTCCATGTGCCCTTCCACCTGCTGTGTTGGCTCATTGGTGAATCATTTGAATGGCTGCTTATCTGCTTCCTCTTAGGTGGCTGTTGTACGGGCAGCGAGGACTAAACATGTTTTCAGTTTATAGACTTTAAAAAAAAATCAGAATTTTATTACCAGGCTCTCTTCCTCACCCCTTTTCCCCAGGTTGCCAAGCAATTTATTGGCATGAAACTTTTGGCTGAACCAACTGAAAAGACTTCCAGTATAGGTGATGTTTTGTGGGATAATACATTAAGTTCATGTTTTAAATTTAAGGGAGTTTTCCATTTGACATTTTTTTCTAATTAAATCAATTATAGAATGTAGCGAGGTGGATTTTGGGGTGGCTATATAGTCATGGAAAGCTGCAATAATTAGTTTTATACAGCTTGAATATTTGCTACACAGGGATATAGTATAGTATGTCTTTGGTCTTAGCATACCTACTGTGCTGGTCACGGTGTCTCCCAATAATTATGATTGGGACATTTCTCTGGTAACTGCCATTTTGCTGCTAGTTCATTTTATGGCCAGAAAGTCCATAAAAAGTAAATGTGCCAAATTAACTTTTGTCTGAATGCGTGAGCAGATGGCTAAGTTCTCTCCTCACCAGAATGGAATAACAGCAGCAGGGAAATGGGGGAGGGAGTAGACTGAGAATTCTAGAGACTTGGAAACTGCAGTAAAATCAAATGAGTCAGGGAGCTTCAGTTAGAAACTAATGTTAGGGAGGGCAGATTTTGTGAAGAGAATATTTGTTAGAGCCAGAGAGCACTTGTCTTTTAGGAAAAGCTCATTCATTTTGCATGGTTTTTAAATGTAAAATAATTCCAAAGATAAACCAGCTCACAAAGGATGAAATATCACCTGTGCCCCAGACCCCTCACCTCCTGCCCAAAGTGAACTGGATGCCCAGGAAAGCCCCACTTCACCTACATCTCTCCCAGCATGTGCTCACCCGCATAGAAGTACTGAGATGTGGTGATTCTCAGTCTCTGAGATCTAGGAAAGTTAATAATTCTTCTCTAACCATATAAGAGTAGGGCTCTTTATTTATAATGATACCTGGGGTTTCTATAAAAATTAGCAATTTTCAGAGCAGTTTCACTTTCATAATGTCATTGGAGCCTCACCACGTTCCTGTGAGATTTTTCTCTTAAAGGTAGGGATTGTAACCCTATTTTTAGGAGATGGACTGAGATACAAAAATTGAGTAAACTGCCACGGTCCCTGTGTGTCGTGAGCGATGCTGGTTGGCCGCCTTCAGAACAATTGAACTTTCTCTACATGCAGTGCTCCGTCCCTAGAATAAGGCTCCTTTCCTTACAGACCAGCTGTTCTGCGGGGCAGGAGTAAGTGGTATTTCTTTCTGAGCGATGTTTAGCACCCTTTGCTGCCTTGGTAAAAATTTTATTGTTTTTCATGGCTAAAAACAAAAGTAATGATAACTTTGAAAATGGGTTTAGAAACTGCCCCCCACCTGCGGGTCACAGTTCAAGAGTACAGGAATGGACTCTCCACTGATGAGTCCCTCTGCACTTTGTTTCCCATCCATGGCTGGCAAGCTGGTTTAGTTGGTTTGAGGACTGCTGACAAGGCTGGCTCATTCCCTTTATTGGCTAGTTAACATTCTACATCAACCTGCTCACTCAAGTGCATGCCTTCAGCCAGTGAGTAAAACAGCCTACATCCATGATTTTGTCTAAAGAATAAAGATCTCTATCCCTCTGATGTTATGTTAGGAGCATTATCTTCGAAAGAAAAGCATAGCATATAATTGTGTAAAGTCCCGTGCTTGATAGTAGCAGGTGATTTCTGGTGGTTTCAACAATAGAATTTAGCATCACAAAATAGGTTGGACATATCAGACTGTCCCAAGTGGGCTGAGCTCTGAATGCAGGTGGAGAACTTGCCATCTTTCTTGCTCTATGGACAGATGTCTTAGACCTGAGGGGGCACTTTTGGTTTTCAGTGAGACCAGACACCAGGGATACATACATCTAATTGAAAGGAAACACACTTAGAAGAATAAAAGTGTTTAGAGCGTGTGGCAGTTCTAGGCTGGGCGCAGATTCAGTAGATCAGCTATAACTGAAACTTAGAATTGGCCATCTGCCTCTGAATAGGTGTGTGTCTCTCTCACTCTTAGCTTTGCCTCTGGACCTCTACATGCCCAAGCTGGCCTTTCAGCCCCGACAGATTAGTAATGTGCTGGCCACCTCCCGCTCCTGCTGCTTTTCCCACCGCCTTTGTCACGACACTGGGATACAGAGAGGAGTGCCAGGTTGTCCACACCCAACCCAGGTGGGAGGGATGGCCTGGGTTTTGTCATTTCCTTCATTTCCAGACATGTCATCCAGGCAGAAATTCCCGCTTTCCTTTTGGGAGAGCTCTAAAGCACCCTGCCCCGATGTGCAGTGGCTAACACTCATTCTGCTCAATGTCGGCACAGCCCCCTCATCCCACGTGAAGCCTGGATACTTGGAACTGCTCAAATAGGAATTCAGTTTTTCAACTTTGCTATACTACCTTTCCTCAGGCAGGAAAATAAACAGGACTTAAATGTCTTTTGAACAAAACCAAAGTTTTAAGATTCACCATGTGACGGCAGTGAGAGGGAGGGCCAGACTTTCAGCACTGGCTCTCAGCAGGTGCCAGGCTTTCCGTTCCACCTGCCACCATCTGCCCAGCTCAGACAGCCCTGGGAGCACCATCCTGCCCTAGCAGAGCCCAGGCTTGCCCTCATGGAGGATAATTGAAATAGCAGGGGCATATTGATTTCCTGGTTACATCACATTATAACAAGAATCAGAACATGAATTTGAAATTGTCTTCAACTTGCTGTATGCATTTTTTCACACCAGTACATTCTTAAGCTTTCTTGTTTATAGAGAATAACATAAACTAATCTGTACCTTTATACATATGTACATATATACATGTATAAACTGTATAGTGTACATGCTAATGATTTATTGATATGTTCCAAACCTTTACTGCAGTTCTCAGCCTCTGCATGCCCTCAGTTTGTGGTCAGGTAATGAATGTTCCCTGATGATTCTGCCCGCCTCCTGTGTTTGGATGTCTAGGGAAGAGGGTTTTGCTCATACCCTCCTTGTCCTCGTGCACAGAAATGCTCAGGGTCCCCTTGTGCCTGTTGTTCAACCCTCTCTTGTCTCTTGTTCCCTTTCTGAGCATGTGGTCTCTTCCTGTTCTGTATCTTCTCTGCCTCTTTCCCAAGTTGTGGGACAGCCACCTTCCTACTCAAGTGTAAAGCAGTATTAAGATCATTACTGCATGTGCGCTTAAAAAAACAAAACAAAACTGTTTTCTGTTCCCTTGGGACAGGAAATTGCATGTGAGGTGGGTTAATCAAGTCTCAATGACCCATGTCAGTTACACAACAAAACCAGACCGCCCATAATAAAATTCCACAAAATGGAAATAAAACTCAAATTTCTTTAGCATTGTGTAAATAAATCTGGATGTGTTTAACTTTGTACTGGTAATTTTCTGTATATTTGCAATATTTGGGTTAGAAATAAAACAGACTGGGACTTTGTTACCTGACCTACTGAAATGACTAAGCTACAATTTGTTAATATGATACCTTTTCCAGTTTTCTAGCTTTAGCAATCATACCAAACCAGCAAATATGCCAATTAAAGAGCTAGGAGTATGCATTTATAGTATGAAAAGTATTAGATCATTTTATGGGGGAAATTACACACTTTTCTCTTTCTCTCCATGCTTATAAAGGTCTACTTCCCATGGGTATTTGTAAGACCAGTTTTCCCCCAGAAAGTCAAACTGACCTACTCCACATACCTTCTCAGGTTTCAGTTGCTATACTCTTCCCCTGGACACAGCAACGCACAATTACTCTCCTGAATTATATGTTCCTTATAGCAGGTTTGACAAATAACACTGAATTTTAACTTTGGTATATTTCTATTTGCCCCTCTTCTATTTCTCTTGCTGCTCTTCCTCAGTCCTTCCTGATCCACTTCATTTAAGGACCTCCAAAGAGTTGCAGCTTTCCTCTCTTCCAAAACACTTCTTTTAGGAGAGGTTCCTACTGATCTCCCTGAGCCTTAAGGCTGAGCTGGCTCCTCTGCCATTCTTGGGTGCATTTCTGTGGAATACTTGCTCTGAATCACGGTCTGAAAATGACAAGGCAAAGACCTTGTTCTTGAGGAGCTCGCTGTCTGGTGGAAGAGATCCTCCCCCAGGAGAGGATCTCCAATGGTTTACTTTTCAGGAGTTCATCTGACAATGTTCTCAGACTTCCTACACCAGAATCACTAGGTTGCTTTTGAAAATGTAGATTCCTGGTTCCCACCCACACCTATTAAATTAGGCTGTTCTAATGGACAGACCCTAAGGAGTCTGTTTTTTATTTGATTCTTGTACACCTTCACTGCAACAAAGGGCTAAGACTGACAGCCTGGGTATAAGTGGTGTTTGGAGTCTCGTGCAGGGACTGTGTTCTTGGAAGGACCTTGGCTGTGTCAGGCCAGAGAAATAGGTCAGAGAGGCTTTCACACTAGGCCTGGTGTGGTACAAGTGTAGCTTCTCACCAATGAGTCCCTGAGGTCAAGTTCCAGAGTCACCTTCTTTGTCCATCCTAGCTCCTGATAAACAGGTTCCTGGGCCCAAAGTGTGTCTACAGTTTGTTCTGGTCCTGAGCCCCTCTACAGGTCACAAAAAGGGCTTCTGTCTCACACCCCAGAACTACTGATAAGATATCAGAACTACTGACATCCTATTGACTCTGCCCCCCAGTTGAGGGCTAAAGGGGCAAGTGAGTAAGAAGTCTATTCATTCAACTACTTCACTTTTTTCCATAAGAAAAGAACTGAGTGGGGAGAGGTACGTGGGAGCTCAGTACTTTCTGCTCAACTTTGCCAAGAACCTAAATCTGATCTAAAAATAAAGCCTTTATAGAAATACAAAGGTCCTGGTGTGGTTGTTGAGGGGACATTGGCTTCTGGAGACAAGTATGATAGGAAACTAGATAATTTGGAGGGAGCGTACAGCACGTGTGGAATGATGGTTTGGTAACCCTGGAAATCAACAGGACCTTTAAGTAACCAACACCTACTGTGGGTCAGCCACTTTTCAACATTTTTATCATTTTATCCTCAACCCAAACATTGCAATTATCCCTTGTTTCATAGACCAAAGACCTGAGGTTCAGAAGAGTGATTTGCTCAGGGTCACCTAGCTAATGAGTGAGCAGTGTAGCCAAAAGTCACACTCAGCTCCTCTGACCTTATGCCCCTAGCTTTCCTCCCGCCCCACTGCTGCCTCTCACTTTATTTGTACTTCATCTCATAGGCGACAGAGCTTTCAAAGGAGCCAGTGGCTTCACCTAAAAATAGCTTACACTTATCAGGCACTTAGTCAGCTACATTCTGCTAAGCATTTTACACAGATTACCTCTTTTAATCAACCCTCACAACAACCCTACGGTCATTATCATCTCTATTTTTCAGATGAGGAAACAGACCTAAGACAGACTGTGACATGTTGGAAGTAACACAGCTGGTTTGGTCATGGGGCCAGCGTGAGCCATGGTAGTCTGCTCCAGAGTGCAGACTCTACCTTCCACTGTCACCAGGGGGAGGTGGAGAGAATGGGGACGCACCCCGGAAGGTCAAGCGGACGAGATCTTAGAAGTCATTGAATGTGGGAGCAGAAAAGAAAGAGCAGTTAAAGGTGGGCCTGTCAGCTAATCCTGGAGCCCCTTTCTTTGGACCTGAACACCCTGTTGGATGAGCTGGAGGCCAGGAGTCAAAGGTCCCATTTGGATGGTCTGTGCGTGGGGGAGCAGGAGGAGCTGTTTGACGTTCAAGCTCACTCCTCCTTCTCTGGTGCTGTGAGGGGTGTCATCTCACTGCCAAGATAACAGGGCCACCTCGGCCCTCCTCCTGTGGCTATTCTGGGCTGCTGTCTGATCCCCCTCACTTCCCCCCAGCCCCTGCCTCAGCCCTTCTGCTGGGAGTAGCTGGGTGGGGAGAAGCCAGCCCAATTAGAGAACCCTGTGGTGGGGACCCCTGGAGAGGCTGAAGAGCAGGTGCTCGGCCCCTCCCTCAGCACCAACAGTGAAAATCTGCTGCTGGAGCCCTGCCTCGGGTGTCCCAGCATGGAGGCAGCCACAGTACAGGAGGTGGCCTTGGGACCCATGCTGAAGGTGAAAGAAGCCAGCCCAACGGATGCTGAAGAGCCCCAGACTTCACCTCGACAGGGGGCCAGCAGCCCCATTCCCCAGCTCCTGGCCCCTCTAGAAGGTGACTGTGGGGGTTAGGGAGGGTGGGGAGACCAAGTGGTGGGAGCTGGGAGGCTATCCCAACCCCCTGAAAACATCTCCTTAGGTTTGTGCAGAGTTGCATGGCTTCATGGGATCGGGCCTTGGGATGGAAGAGCATTGGCTGGAGCTCCCACCCTCTTCCTTGGTGGGTTCTTACTTGCTACTCAAGGGTGCTGGCTGGGTTTTCAGCTGAGAATTCAGTGAATGTTGTTTGTGGCACTTTACAGTGACTAAAAATTATCTGTTTATGTTTTTTACCTTTAAATGTCTATCACAGGGACTAGGAGGACCTGCTATACTGATGCCGGTCACAAAGGGAACGAGGGGTGAGACAGTGGCCATCTTCTAGATTAGAAGAGGGGCATGAAAAGTTTACAGCAACTGGGAGGCTAAGTAGCGAACAGTCCATGACACTCTGTTTCTCCCCGGGCAGTGCCATGGGTCCAGGACCCACCCCAACACCATCACTGGCTCCCATGGGAAACCCTTGCCCCTTAGAACCTGAGTTCCATGGAAGCAGGGCCCTCCTGGGAGAAGCATTTGGCCTCCTCTCTGTGGTGGTCTCTGTGAGCCTCTCAGCAAAGCGGCATTTTCAAGCTAGGAGGTGGTGTGTGTCCCTTCCAGTCCCTGGTTCCCATCCCCCGCCACCCCTGACTGAGGCCTCAGCAACCCACAGCTCTGTGCCACTCATCTGGGGAGTCCCCACTTCGCCTGGCTCAGCCGACCAGAGGTGGAAGGAGAAATAGAGAATTCATTTCTTAAAAGCTTTGGCTCAGGGGCGATTCTCATCATTTCTATTCACATACCACTGGCAAGAACTAGTCTTACTAGTCTTGCTGTCACAGGGGCAGTGCCTTCTCAGAGATAATGATACTATGGAAGAAATCATGAAAATTTGGGTGGGCAATTAGCCATTTCTGTCACAGGAGTGGTGACGAGACAGTGGGTGCTTGAAATTCAGGTTACAGAGGGGTTGTAGTTACTGATCGAGAGAATGACCAGGGAGCGAGGGTGAAGTGGGGAGCACAAAATTCCTGGAGAAGTGGCAGGCGTGATGTACGGCCCGGGGGGATTGGCAGCGTGGCTGTTGAAATCACCAGGAAGTACGAGGAGCAGTGCTGGAGAGAGCGGCAGTGAGCCAGGGTCAAAGCCTCCAGCAGGAGGGGAAGAAGACCGCTACAGGGGAGGGTGACAAGTCTCCTCAAAGAAATGTTGCCTATGTCTATATTCTTTTGTTTTTTTCTGACCTTAGTTTCATAGTCTTCAAGGAGATGACACTTGTCCTTCACAAGGTGCCCCTGAGGTTACCATACTCCTTTCCCATCACACTCCAAGTCCATAACCTAAGCACCTGCTAATGTTTCTCTAAGAAATGCTAGTAGTTTTTGGATCCCTGAGAATCTCTGGTTATGTTTCAAAGCCCTAGTTCACCTCTTACATTAGCCCACTTATGGTAACCATTTGCTCACACACACACTTATAGTAATAGTCTTACACACACATGTATACATGCACACACTCCCTTCACTCTTCAAGTGTGTTTATCTTGATCCTTCATTCTCCAGACCATAATTAATAACATCAGTCTGACCTACACAACCCTTAGGGAACTGCTGGGGAAAGTTCTTTAATCATGGGAAATAATGAGAAGATATGAATGATTTTTCCCATGAGCAAAGAGTAAGGAAATGGGCATAAACTTGAACAGAATGAAGTTAGGTCAGAACTAGGAAGAATTTTCTAATGAAGAAGAGCCAAGACCTTTGGACTTAAGGAAGTCTTCTTTACTAATTTCTAAGAAAGAATTAGATAACATCCTGAGAGAAATACAGTGCTGACAGACATAGCTCAGAGCCAGTGACTCTCAAAGGACTTTTCAAAATGCCTTTCCCCACCCCAAGACTCTGAAGGGAGAAAACCAAACTGTAGCTGTCTCACACCTGGTCTTAGAAATCCTAGGTTCTGCTTTCGGGCTCTAGTCTTTGGTTCGGATCCCTCCTGGCATCTGAGGAAGAGAAAGCCATGCTACCCCAAGGTCAGTACAATTAACACCTCGCTGGATTATGGAGGTGTGAAAAAAAGATGCCTCCAGTGAGCCCTCCTATTAACATTCTCAGCAAGGGGTCAGATTGCTCTTGTTTGCTGGGCAGACAAGACCTGGGTTAAGCTGGGAAGGGCTTGCTGCTG